AGAATCAATTGTGTATAATAGGGTTGAAAACTTTGAGATTTAGAGGTAACAATACACGGACTTAGCTTATATAGCATAAAATGACAGAGATAACTTCGATTTTTTAAGGGAGTTGAAGAGATACAGAGGAATGTGGATCACATTCAATGAATAAGTATTGAAAAACAAATTGGTTCATTCCCCTTAACACAGTAGTTACGAATTTACTTCCCTCGAAAATGAGTGATCATTATAGCCAAGAAATTTACGTAGAGAATTTCCATATAATATAAGAATAAGAGAAATTTGTGAAAAAACGACCTTTTAAGTGCTCGACTTTTTATAAAAGAACATTTTAAGTGAAAAATTGTGAAAAAGGACCTTTTAACTTGTATTATGTTTTTAGGGGTACTTGGGTGAGTTTTTCTAGTGTCAACGCTAGAACTCCGCCGTTGACTAGCACGTTTTAGTCACGTGAGTTTAAAATTAAAATAAAAATTATTTTTTCCCCCAATTTCCCTCCATTACGAAACTACCCTTTTCATTTTCACGCCTTTCTCTTTCTGAAATTTGAGGGAAAAAAAAATAATTTTTTACTTTTTTTAAGTCACGCCACTCGTGAAAGTCAACGTCAGAACTTCGGCATTACTCACCAAGAAAACTCACCCAAGTACCCCCTAAAAACATAATACAACTTAAAAAGTCCTTTTCACAACTTTTCACTTAAAGGTTCCTTTTACAAAAATTCGACCACTTAAAAGGTCCTTTTTCACATATTTCTCTAAGAACAATTCCCAAAGTTGATCTGAATTCCAATGTTATCATTTACCCGGAGTATTTAGATACTTTGTATTATACTCCTCCCTCTTATCTCATTTGAAATACTTACTATCTAAAGTATTTACTGCATACTTGTTACTCCGTATATTTTTGGACAACGATACTCATAAATCATACTCCCTCTATTTTTTATAATTCTTTACGTATTAGGTACTCTATTTTGGGTGTTTCACTTTAATTTTATGTTTCTTATTGATAATGTACGGAGTACTCTGTACATAATATTACAACTTTATTTCTACTCCAATATTTTAAATTTGTATTCATCTACTGTGTTTTATTTTCCAAGACTCCCATTTAATTGGAGTAGTTTGCAATTGATACCCGCTTAATTGACAATCCGAGAACAAGCAAACAATAACCTAGCAATGAAGAACTTTCAAAAAAAAAAAAAAAAAAAAGCAATGAAGAAGAGAATAAGCCAAAAGGAGAGGGAGGAGAAAATGTGAATGTATAAAATTCAAATCCTCCTTACCAAATACTCTTTACTTTCTCCCCAATGCCTCTGTCAAGCTAAGAGGATGGCATGAAAAGCGAGTTTTGATCGGATTTAATAACAGGGAAAGATGGGTCTGAAAACAAAATTGCAACACACTGAATACTTTTGTCTTCAAAAATTTAGCAAAACGACGAGTATTGTTTGTTGCATTCACCCCAATTACCCAAAGCAAAGTGCACGGTGCATTCTTGATAATATTAACAACCGACACCAACCACCACGACCACCATCCTGTTGAGAATAGTGAAAGCGTACATAAACAATGCACAAGATTATGTGTAAACTTAAAGGTACAGAAATAAAAGACGATGACATGATAATAATCTTCTTGATTGTAGAAGGAGGGTATTAGTATTAGCTGTATGAAGTTTCTAAGCAATTTCCTCTAGCTAGTAGCTTAGGTGTATGCCAAGTGTTCTTTTCTTTTTATTTGTTCTGAGTATTAGCTGTATGCTGACAGCCAATGAGAGTGTTCTAGGGATTGCCCCTGATTGTATGCCGCCATATAAATATGTACTCAGTGCTCTCATAATAATAATACATCACAAAACTATTTGGCTGCGCCACAAATTCTCTCACAAGATTCGATCTTTATTTTCGCGTTTCTTCTCTAAACTCTTCATGGTATCAAAATTTGTGTAAAATGCAGATCCAACCCTCTTCGATCTTAGAAAGGTTGTATTTTTAGATAAAGATTTAATCTTGATATCTGAAAATACCTAAAGATGGAGCTCTCACAGTTGCTGACATCCAAAATCCTTTGTATCTTCACCCTTCTGATGGGCCTCTCTCTATCAACCACCCTCGGAAACTGGCAGGAACTTCAAACTATCGAACTTGGAGAAGATCCATGGAGATAGCTCTGGCCTCAAAACGCAAGCTTGGTTTTGTCACTAGACTGGTCAAGAGAGACAGTGAGAATGCAGAGAGTCAAGACCAATGGGATACTTGCAATAACATGGTTGTAATTGTAAAGGAGATGAACAACACGAGGATAACAATCATCTTCAATTGAGTGATATTTGTATTGTAATTGATGGTAATTGCTTCTCCATTGCATTTTTTTAGTTCAATTTGATTTAGGAAGATGACCTTCAACATATTGTTTTGTGGTTTTGTGACAAGCAGAGAACATTGAGTTCTCAAAGTCACGTAGGATTTGGAGAATCATATAGTTGAAAACTTTTTAAAACTATTCCAGCCTATTAGCTCAATTGGTCGAGCATTGTGTATTTTCATTGGCACGTTCGAATCCTACATAGGCTAACATATAGACATAGAGTGACCCTTTTTAGCAAATAGTTACCATTTCACTGTTTTTTTTTCCACACATTGTGACCTCTATATACATATACTTACCTTTTTTCTACATATAGTGACCTCTATAGACATAGGCTGACTGCAAGGCTGCTTTGGGCAGCTTGGAGATGTCGCAACATGGCTATTTTCAAAGGTAAACAACCATGTGATGTGCTGGTTGCTGCAGGCTTCACAAAGTATGTTGAAGAGTATTGTAAGTGCTCAAAACGTGTTGCTGGTACTGCTATGGCTGGTTTAAACGTCACCCCTGCTGCTGCATCGTGGTCCATCCCACCTGACCCAAGCAAGCGGTGAGCTGGTTGCTGCTGCTATCAAGAGAATCCACCTGACCCAAGCAGAGATTGCAAGATATGCTCTGCAGCTAGCAAGGAGACTCGAGTATAGCCATATTTGGATAGAGAGTGATGTGCAAGAGGGTTGTTCGTGCTATTAAGTCCGGAAGCAATGGAGTCACGCCTTTTCACCTAGTTATTGAAGATATAAAGAATGATAGCTTAACTTCGATGATTGCATTTTTTCTCATGTTAGACGGGTCTGTAATACTATGTCTCATACGATTACTTGTTGGGATACTAGTTGTAACGTTGAAAAAGTCTGTATTGGTCGAGCACTGTGTATATTTTTATTGGTATAGAAGATGTAGGTTCAAATCCTACATAGGCTAATAAGATTTAGACATTTAGTGACCCTTTTTAACAAATAGCACTACAAGAAAACAATCCATTTTCGACGGAAAAATTCCGTCGGAATCACCTTGAATTCCGTCGAAAAACACTGTTCCGACGGAAATACGAAAAACATGTTGTAGGAAAATCGACCTTTTCCGACGGAACAACTTTTTCGGGCACCGGAAAGTCTGTCGGAAATTTCCGACAGAACACAAATCCGTCGAAAGCTGTAAAAAAAAAAACAAAAAAAAAAACCTTGCACCACCTCTAACATCCCCAACCCCCCTAATCCAGCCCCAACCACCCAGATCCACTAACACCGTACCTAAGCCCCACCCACACCAAACCGAAACCACCGACCATCCCAAAACCCCACCCAAAACCCCACCCAACAACAACCACCCAAAACAGCCCCTACCACCACCCAAAGCCACCCCTACCAAATCCCCACCTACACCAAACCGAAACCACCCCTACCAAAACCCCACCCACACCGAACCGAAACCACCCAGCACCAAACTCACACCAGCCCCCACCCCACCCCACCACCACCGACACCAGCACACACCACCACCATTCCAAAAATTCCGTAAAAACCGAAATTAACCCAAAAAATCGGAAAATCAACCCCAAAAAGCCGAAAATTAACCCTAAAAATACAAAAATTAACACAACATAATAAAAAATACCAAAAAAATCAAAACCAGATCTACATATTAATCAGAATTTCATTAAATTTTTTTAAAAAAACGATAATTAACCAACGAAAATTAAAAGAAATATATAAATATACAATTTTATCATAAAATTTATAAACTAATATTACAATTCCATACAAAATTAACTAGATCTACACTAAACCTAAATTACAAGATCTAAAAAAAAAACCTTAAGACTGGTGGCTCGCGACGGTGGTTGTTGTTGCCCCGGTTTATTGCGGTAGATGGTGGTTGTGGTTGTTGGCTTGATGTTTGTGGTGAACGCACTACTACATTTTTTACCAAATGCAACGGCCTAATAAAGGCTAATGCAACGGTATTTTAGTTGCCGTTGCAATAGAGTAAGCTATTGCCACGGATTTAACACTAATGTTCTTAGAGGTGGAGCTATTGCCACGGCTTTAAAAGAGCCGTTGCAATAGCCTAGCAATTTTAAAAAAAAAAAGAGAGAGATTGCAACGGTATGTGTTATATTATGAAAAATTTAGAAGCGCGCATTTCTTCCCTCTATTTTTTTCACCAAATATTTGAACAATACTTGTCTTTAATTTGCTTCCCTCTATTCACAATTCTCAAGTACAATACCATTTTCCCCCTTTTCTCCAATTTTCCCCATTCTCACCTTAATTGATTATAGAGGACCATTTTCACAGTACCATTTTTCCAATTTCTCCATTTTCTCATCTTCTCAGATCTCATATTTTCGTAGTAGATGAGAAGGAGTACGTTTTTGTTGTAGTTGTTGCATCTGATTTAAAACCCAGACCTCAAAACTACCAACAATGGCGCAACCACCGCCTGCACCACCACCGCGCTCATATACCGACCTCTTCGGCGACCCAATCTACGATTTAACCCCTTTATGGTTCAAGAACAACCTCTTTCTCCATCCTTTCGACTCCGAATCCTACATCTCTAACCTTCAAACCCAGTCATCTCTCGCTGCACTCAATTAATCTCAAGTTACTGGTATGTATTTTGAAACAATTAAATTTATTCTAGTATAATTTGTTGAAAATGGCTCTATTTAGTTGTTAAATGCTATAGTTTCTCAAAAATTAAGCTACTATTTGTTTAATTAAGGTTTTCGTAAGTAATTGCTTCAATAATTCTGATGTCATCAATTTTGTTAAATTAATTTTGCATTTTTGCTGGTTTGATTGAGAGAAAGAGAACGATTAAGGTGAGCAATCTTCTTAATACTCTTCCTGTTCTACAGTCTTACCGTAGTACTACATTTTTTTTATCTTATTTATGGTTTCCTTGCGTTTTGTTTAAATTTTTGTGTTTTCAATTTTTCTGATTCTGCTCAAATTTTTTTATTCTTTACTATTCAATTGATCTAAATGTATTGGCTGACGAGATCATTGAATTGTTTGTGAGCTAATTGCAGCCCACCATCCCATTATTGAGTCTTCAGAAGCAGGTGCATGAGCAGTTGGTATGCTGGAACCTACAGGTTCTGCTTTTTGGCTAATACCTTGTAGTTTTTTTTCGTAGTATCCTTTTTAACTTTAGTTGTTTAGTGTATGTTTGGCTTTAGGATGTACTAGTTCTGTGGCTTTCTTTTTTGTGAATGCTTTATTTTACAGCATGCATATTCTCTTATGATTACCGATCTTCCACTGCTCTCCTTTTGAACACTTCCCACTTTCAAACAAAAAATGAAATAGAGGGTCGTAATTGCTTGAAAACCAAACCCGATTTCCTCGGCTTTCTGTAATTCCTCTTTTTTTCACCCTTTGATTTGGATAATGAAGAGTCAATGATAGATTTATAGTAGTCTTAGTAGATTCTTAATTTTTCTCTTCAATGTGAATTAAGGCAACGACACTTGGGCGATATCAATGTCTCATGCTTTGGTGTGTCAACCGGATTTATGGAAGTTGTTCACTAGGACAGTGATGTATCATACTATAGCATTTCTGCCTAACTTACTTTGCCTATTGAAAATGTAGAATAACATGCTCAGAAAATACAGCAAGGTTCAGTACACTTGTTGAATTGGTCCCCGCAAAACTATGAGGCTAGGGCGGGATGAAAATTAGAGGTAAATTTAGGTGCATGGATGCAAACTAGTGTCAACTAAATCTAATAAGTCATAAAAATAATATGCCAAGAATTTGGGCATCTTAATATGAACATCTTGCATTCTTGTCAAACTTTTGGGACGGTAGGTAGAGCCAAAAAAAAATCTCTTGGTAAACCGCATGCTCAAAAGGTACTGTATATATTAGGCCCAGCTTTTTAGTTGAGATTTCTAATCTTACTTAAACAAGTAGTATATCATATCGATGACTATTTCAAGGTTTTTTTCTGTAAGTTCATGAGCTCATCAGAACACTTAGTCTTACATAGTTCAATATACTGTCATGTATGAGCTTGTGTCAGAATGTTGGAAAAAGATATTATACCTCCTGTTTTTATGCCTAGTTGGTATTTTAACTTGTCATGGCTGTCGTTTGAGAAGAAATGGAGAATGCAACATGCATATAGAGTTACGTTGGTTCTGATGTTCTGTACTTTTTGTTGATGCCTCTGTTTAGTATTATTGAGTCTGTGTTTGTTTACGTTGCATAAAAGTGGTTGCACTCGTACTGTACGTCGTAATTTTTCTCTAGGTGTTTCGGGGTGCTGGTTGTTCGTGTAAGTTGTACCCTGTTGTAAGTACAATAGGATGCATTGTTCAGTAAATTAAGACAACTAATTTTCATACTGAAACTGAAGTTAACTAGCTACTTAGACTCTCAAGTAACGAGTTTCTTGCCTTTTTCATACGAACCCCATAAAGACTCATTTCTAGTTGCTCTTCTGGAGATTGCAGCTCCTCTATGTTTAGACCGGAGAGCTTTTGTCCCATAAGTTTCCTGCCTTATCAGAATGGAAATGAAGTCCCTAAATAAGGGTATATGAACTCTTTGTTTTAGCTACTCTTTTATATATTAATTGAACTACTACACCAAATCATAATTACCCAAATGCCTCTTAAGTTTTCTATTTAAGGCAAACAGTTTCTGCAAATATGGTTTATCTTGATTTGTATTGTTTATTTGATGGTGGCTCTTAAAATACTAGAACAATGATTATACTTTGATATGGATTTTCACCTTCTTCATTCTGGTTAAAGTTATATCTTGTTTGAGATTGTTTTAGTAATAAAAAAGGTGAACTAAAATCCAGATTCTTCGGTTTTGCAGAAATTTTGAGGGGTTTAGTATTATTTAGAGCTAGATTCTTCAAGTTGTGCAGAATTTGAGGGGTTCAAATTATTTAGAGCAAGATTCTTCAAGTTTTGCTGAATTCCTCTCTCAGTCTGTCACCTCCGACTGCTCAGCGGCGCCTTTGCGTTAATTGAGAGCTCCAATGGCGTTTCGAGGTGTGGGTTTTCAATTGACAGCAACTATAAATTCGGATAAGCAAAGGTAAGCAATTTGAGTTAGTGGTTGCAGTTTGCTATGGTCTAATTGTAGCTTAATTGGGGTATTCTGGTTTTGCTTATGATTAGTTATTGTTGCTAATTAATCAGAGAGTGTTTGCAATTTAGTCTGAGCTAATTGTAGTTTGAATTGGTAATTATCTATTTTGATTTATAATTAGGTTGCTGTTGAGTATTTCTAATTGTTTCATGCATTGTTTTTGGGTTAATAGTTTAGTTATTGCTGCTAATTAATTAGAGAGTGTTTGCAATTTAGGCTGACCTAAGTGTAGTTTGATTTTTTTTTATTTATAATAAATAGTTTACCGTTTAGGATATCTAATTGTTTCGTTCATTGTTTTTGGGTGGGTATGCGTTTAGCAAGGCCTTACTGGGTGATGCGGAACTCAAGTTTTGCTTGTATTTGTGGTGGGTGTGTGCTGCTTGGATTAAGATTGTTTTTTTTGTGTGTGCCTACTGTCCTTTTTCTTTTGCTTTTGTGTCAATTGAGGTCGTTGCTTGCTGGATTTTTACTGTTTATGGTTGGTGATGGCAACTGCTCTGTTGGAAATATGATTTAGAATCCTAATTTTGGGCAAAAAAAGCTTGGCCAGTTTTTAAGGCCTTTTCATATCTTGTCTTTTTCTGGGGAAGAAGTTAGCTTTAAGAGGGTCGGTTTACCCTTACTATATATATGACCACTCTCTTTTGAGTTGAGCTATATGTTGTTATCTTCACTGATCAAGGTGGTTTAGGTAATGAGTTCTTGGAGCTTTATTTTGCTTATTCATGCTAATTGGTTTTTGTTATTGGACTTTTACTGGAAAAACGAGCTTGGTTAAAAGAACACTGTGACGAAAATGATCTTTACCTACATTGAATACTCAACTGGAACAAATGAATTGCAATTTAGATAATTAGAATATTTAAAATGTCTGATCTTATATACATTTCTGTGTAAATTAGCTTAATCGATTATTTGATTATAGTTTAGGCTTAAATAAGCTTGCCTATCATACTGTTGTTAGGTTTTCAGATTTATAGTTTTTATAATTAGCTATTGGTGAGTACATTTTGGATTTAAAATTCTCAGTGCTGAAGAAAAGAAAAAATAATATGAATGTTCTTGGTTAAAAAGTGAACTTTGAATTTGTTTGTTGCTGTGTGAAAAATCGTGTCTTAGGGGGGAAAAATTATATTAGTGGAGGCATCATTTTGGTTTGGTTCCCGATTTATAGATCTTAAAGTGACGGGTTTTGTTTGGTTTGTATTAATTGGATCATTGAATGGTACATACTTTAGGAGCATAATATAGAGGAAATGTTGGCTTGTGCGATGATGTATTGTTTATGAATGAGTTTGTCTTTTACTGCCTGTTATAGTGAGCTGAGCAGAATTTTGTGTTGCTTGCAGGTGTTATTGTGATATATAACTTGGTGCTCGTTCTACTCAGATTTCCACAGGTATATACTGTCCTTATCGTGATCTGCTATATACATTCGGGTTTAGTATGCTCTTTTGATTGCCAAAAAGTAATGTTCTGATTATACTGAGAATTTATATGTTATTCTGTTTACTTGTTTAATAATTTATATGTTATTCTCTTTACTTGTTTAATAATTTTGGTTTATGTAATTTATGAAAAACAAAATTCTAGGGTTTATGTAATTTATGAAAAACAGAATCTAGTAAGTTTCAATTTAATATAATTTGTTTTCGACTTGTTATTGGATTCAATTCGTTTTGTTTCTCTTCTTCTTGTGTATTCAGGTAAGAAGCCGCTGGTTATACAGTGAAAAATAAAAAATATCACCCCTCTGAGTGAATGGGCAGCGTATAATTTTCTTCACCCTAATTTGTATGAAGATGCTGAATTTACTTCTGAGATGAAGCGAAATTGGGTTTATAATTTGAGTATTCCTCAATTTTCTTACTTACTCTCCAAGATCCGCTCTCTTCATACTTTAATTTGTAAGGATATAGAGCTTTCTTATAGGATACCTCATGCCTGTGATGTTTGGATTAAGAGACAGAATGACAGGTATGTGCTTCTCTGTCTTCTTTTTTCGTGTTTCACTGAATCGAATTTATTTTTGTATGCATTGATAAATGCTGTTTGTTTGATTGGTACACTTAATTTGTTTGTGCTTTAAGGAAATTGCCATACCAAGAGAAGCATGTCCGCCAACAGGCATCGATTCTTGGCAACTTGGAGGATTTTGGGGTTTTGTCTGAGCAATACTGTCAATCTGATCTCTTTGCTGTTGTTGAGTTTGGAGCTGGCAGGGGTTACTTAACCTAGATATTAGCTGATTTTTATGGGATCAATAAGGTCTTTTTGGTTGAGCGTAAGGCATACAAGCTAAAGGTCAGTGTACATTAAAACACTTCTTTATGCTCATTTAAGATGTAACTAAACTCATTATATTTATGCTCATATATCTTAGTATCTTAAACTTTAGGCTGATCAAAGTCTACCACAGATAGACAACTTAACATTGGAGCGTTTGAGAATTGACCGTAAGGTTTTCCTAAAACCTCATGTCTGGTTTTTGAGGCCTTTATCCTCGTGTGAGCTATGTTATGTTTTTTTTATAGTAACTTATTGTTGCATTACCTAGAAATATCCTCTTTTGAGCTTTGTTATGCTTTAGTACATAAAATAATCTATATGCATACAACATGATCATAAAACATAATTGACTTCAAAACCATACTATTGTTTTGTGATACAATTAACTAAACTTATTGTTGCATTACCTATAACTGTTGCTGAAGTGGCGTTAACCTAATTTTCATAGTGGAAATGTCTTTGAGAAAAACTTATTAACCTGTGTCATTATTAATACTACTCTTTTTTTTTTTTTCTTTGGGGTTCAGCATCCTGATGATTTACTTAATCCCCACCCTTGCACCTAGAGGGGCAGAATAACACGTAGTATATATTGTCCTTAGCGTGATCTGCTATATTTAGTATCTTTGAATGTTAAACCTACCATACACAATGAATTCAGTTTACTTTCTCTACGATTAATCAGATATCAAATGAAATTGTATGAGGCTTGACTCTCCTTCAGTTAAGTCGCTTGGGTAGGCTAATTGATGCTTTCATATTGTGTTTTGTCCAGTTTATTTATAACCAGAATTCCAGCTTACTTGCAGGAAGAAATTGGAAATAAAGATTTTAACTGCATATGTTCTTGACAAGATATGCACAAGGTTACTACAAGATTGTACGAAGTATAGTGACTAGCCATCTAACAAATGGTGCATATATGTTGGCGACTCTTATTCAAGTCCGGCTTTATGAAGATTTGGATATTTCGGCTTATATATATGTTGACAATTTGTATTTTGGACGATCAAATTAATTATCTAACTTTTATTTATTATTAGTACGGTATGTCATATCAAAAATAGGCAAGAAATATTTTGTAATGTATGTATTTTGCATTATAATTATTATATATAAATGATACTTTAATTTGTTTATGTTAGTATATTTAGATTTGTACCGACTAATTAATATTATATTACCATTCCATCCCAACAAAAAAAAACCCCAATGATCAATCCGTTGCAGTAGATACGTACTCCTACCATTGTATTAATTAGCTTCAACCGTTGCAATAGGTTCAATTTCATCTTAATTATTAGTCAGTACTCTATTGCCACGGATAAGTTATGCCGTTGCAATAGGTTCAATTTCATCATAATTATTAGTCAGTACTCTATTGCCACGGATAAGTTATGTCGTTGCAACAGGTATTGGTCTATTGCCACGGATCAGTGGTGCTGTGGCATTAGGTGTCATAAGCCGTTGCATTAGACCTAGTACAACGCCAGCAGATGCCACGGTACATGGCCGTTGCATTAGGCCTAATGCCACGGATTTTGATGCCTAATGCAACGGATTTAGGGGTTGTAATAGATAAAAAATGTAGTAGTGACGGAGAGAGAAGAGGAAAAAGACAAGAAAATGAGAAGAAGACCAAGAAAATCAGATGAGGGAGGGCAAGAGAAGGAGAAGAAGACCAGAGAGAGAAGAGGAAAGAGAAGAAAGAAGAGATGGAGGAGGAGGAGAGAGAAACAGGAGGTAGAGAAGGAGGAGGAGGAGAGAGAAAGAGTGGGCGGCTAGAGAAAGAGAAATGAGAAGGAGAGAGAAAAAGAAAGAGAAACGGTGGTTGATGTTAGGGTTTTTTTTTTTTTTTTTTAATATCATTATATTCCGACGGAATATTCCGCCGGAAATTTCCGACGGATTTTATTTCCGTCGCAATATATTGGCTTTCTGACGGAATTTTCGACGGATTTTATTTCCATTGGAAATTTAATATTCTGGCGGAATATTCCGTTGGTAAGCCAATATATTCCGACGGAAATAAAATCCGTCGGTAATTTCCGACGGATTTCCTACGGAATTTCTGATTTTTCCGACGGAAATACGTGTCCGTCGGAAACTGTCCGTCGAAAATCGGCCTATTTCTAGTAGTGTAGGTTACTTTTTCACAGATTTTTTTTCCCCACATGTTATTACCTTTATATGAATATAGTGACTTTTTTTTTACATGTAGTAACCCCTATTTGAATATAGTGACTTTTTTTTTTTTTTTTTACATGTATCCCTTATTTGAATATAGTGACCTTTTTTTGTTTTACATGTAGTAACCCCTATTTGAATATAGTGACTTTTTTTTATTTTATTTTTTTATTTTTTTTATTTACATGTAGTAACCCCTATTTGAATATAGTGACCTTTTTTTTTCATGTAGTAACCCCTATTTGAATGTAGTGACCTTTTTTTACATGTAATAACCCCTATTTGAATTTAGTGAGCTTTTGTAGTTATACTATTTTCACGCATTGTGACTCTTATTTAAATATAATCAAAGCATATTTACACATATAATGAGCTTTATTTAAATATGGTCATAGCTACCCTATTTTTACATACAGTGAATTTTTTTTTAAACACAATAACCCATATTTACACATGTAGTGACCCCAATTTATACAGTCACTATTGTTATGATTCCCTTTTTTTTTTTTTTTTTTTTTTTTTTTTTTTTTTTTTGCATATAGTGATCTTTATTTAAATGAAGTCACCCTCTAAAGATAATCAACTTTTCATAGCCTATGCAGGATTCGAACCTACATCAATGTGCACTTGCACAGTGCTCTACCAATAGAGTTAACAGACTTTAAACAAAACTTATACAAGCATAAACATTAAAGTAAAAACTACAACTAATCAAACTAATTAAGTAGAAATTTAACGGAGGAAGCCAACCCAACAAACACTATTGTCATTTATCATGCCCATAAAGCTTTTTTTAGGGGAAAACATGGAAGCAATAGTATTATATCAACAAGAGTCCAAATCCACGAAAGCTAAAACGCCTTGGGGAAAGAGTTTACAAAGGATTGTTCTACACCATTAGCAGGAGCTAATCTAGCAGACAAGTGGATAACACATTGCCATTTTGTCTAACATGATTAATAGAAAGATACTCACATTACTGTCATTATAAGTTAGACCACCAACGACACCAAGTAAACTTTCTAGCAACTTTACCAAAACAGCTTTCCCTTCCAAAGAACCTTGGTACCAGTTGCAATTATTGTGCCAGAACTCCACATTCATGTTGTTGAGCTCATGAGCTGAGAAGTATCGGATAGTGTCATCTTTACCATGATTGAAACAAGGGCATGCTTTGTTTAAGTACAACAGAGATCCTACTCATCCCACAATTGAAATCTACTACTATAGTAATGTACAAAAATCCATTTCAACTCGATTACTTCCAAAAATCATTATACAACCCAAATCACCCAAATAACTCATCATCTGACTGCGATCCAACCCAAATCTGACCAAGACATAGTGCCACCTCCAATGCTAAATTTGCAACTCTACAACAACAATATATGGACGATTTCAACCAGATATTTTTTATTCACTGGTAAAATGCTCAAGATCACAACAATACTGCTTAACAAATGCTACTATACATAAAAATAATAACAAAACTATCCACCAAACGTCAGAAATAATTACTCGTATTCAACCAACTAATAGGTCTATTATGATATAAAGAGAATAAAACATACTTCGTTTTATACAATAGTGACCTATATAATGCTACATCAACCAAATATGAGATCAACGATCACCAAACTACACTCTCCAAATTTGCAAATACAAATCAGAACCATAAATAAATTAATTAAATACCTAATTGTAAAACATAAACAGTGAATTTGATATTAATCATGAATATTAAAAACTGAAACCCTAATTCGTACATACTAGGTGTAATTGAAGCAAAAAAACCCTAATTCGTAAATACTAGGAGTAATTGAAGCCAAAAAGCCAAAAGATACCTTCGGAAAACAAAAAACACTAGAATCGAAAAGACTGAAACCCTAGGTCTTCACAAAATCTTCAATGCGAAACAAAATTCAAACAAAAACTAATGCAAATTGCTTCAATTGAAGAAAAACAACGATTAATCAGCTTAAAATTATAGAAATCAACTCGAAAAAAAATTGTACCAGGAATTTGTTGATTAATGCGATTTGCGTCTGAAGAACGAAGACCTCTTCTCTTCCTAAACGTTCTTTCCATTGAATAAGAAACTGAGCAATCTTGAAATTGAATTTGAGTCGTGAAGAAAGAGAAAGTAGAGGAAGAGCAATTCGAAGAGAGAGAAAGTGACTTATGCTAAAAGAGCAAAAAAGAGGGGAAAAGAAGGATGAAGCTAACATATATAAATTTAAGTTATCTGAAATTTGGTTGCCTCCTCCACACGCACGTGAGAGGTAGCTGGTCCACAATAAGTTTATTGTGGACCAGGTTTATTTAAGAATTGATATATATATATATATATATATGTGTGTGTGTGAGTTTTTTAACTGAGTTTTTAGAGCGCCTAATAGGATTTTATTTTTTACAAAATTATTAGAGCGCCACTTAGGATTAATATTTTTAAAATTCTACAATCGGATTATGCCACGTAAAATTAGTTTTTTTAAAGCGCTATGTAGGATTATAATAATAATAAATAAAAAAACGCCAGATAGGATTAATAATTTTAAAACGCTACAATAGGATTATGCCACGTAAAATTAATTTTAGAGCGTCACATAGGAAAATGTTATATTTTAGCCAATGAAAAAAAATAGAATTACAATTTACTTTAGATAAAAAAATTTATATTAATTATAAAAATAAAATCAACGTGTTTTTTGTGTGGTTGACCATATCTTGTGGCCGCCTGAGACACACCTAAACACTTACCGGGTAACCCTGACCGTCCGAGTAACCCGTGATCGATTAAGTAACCCTTGATCAACCAAGTAACTCCTGACCAAGTAATCCCGACCACAAGGTGTAACCAGATATGAATTTGAACGATTGAGTCACATATGAAGCTTTGTGAAATAAAATATATCTTTTTATATTACGAATTTTATCTAAATAGGAGAAACAAAGTTAATAATTCATTTTATTATAAAAAATTCAAATAGTAAGCAAGCGAATATCACAAAATTTATTAGATAAATGTATATTTAGTAAAATATTTTGTTTGAAAAAAAAATACAAAGAAACCGTGCGTGCACAAGCTTCATCTAGATTTTAATTAAAATAAAATCATTTATATTTTTAATAAAAATATAAAATAATCATTTGATGTTAGTGATTATATTTATAAATAATATTTTTTAATTTAAATATAATTTTTCAAAATTAATATTCATAAATTAAAACTTTAAAGTTAATGTGATTTTCTTTAAAAAAAATCATAGTAATTCAAATATCACAATAACTAAAAACCATACATCTCACGAACTTGCATCTAGTTATCTTTTAGATAATATGTACCTTTATCGTACTTTTTGTAAGAGAATCATTAGTATGTAAGAAATTGTTGAATTATAATTATTTGCATAAATTGTTGTTAAACTTTATGAAATATGGTGAAATAATGCATTGCACGAGACTTAAGCTTGTTTTAGATTAAAATAAAATAATAATTTCAATTTTTGTAAACTCGGTGAATGAGATTATAAACGTAACTAACACAAAGCAATTGTTAGAGTCTAAATGAGTTTAACACATAATTTCTACTGCTCTGTATACAATATCATATATGGCGAACTTGGAACTTAGCAGTTGCAAAATTACAGTTGTTGCAAGCCTTTTAGAGTGCTTAATCAAATACAACATTCTGCATTTCGGTAATAAATTTTTATTGAACACAAATACTATAGAAGACCTTACTTAGTCTTGATTTTTAGCTCAGCATTAGGTGAGGATCGACGATATCGCATTGCCTCCGTTGCGAAATTAAACTTTTCTTCAGCTCCTGCTATATTCGTACTGAGCTCAATAGTCATTTCCTCAAGAACTGGAGAATGGGCTAGAATATATTCCAATAGCTGTAGCTCATTTCTCCAACCTGATATACGACTGAGTTTCACTTTTCTAAGGCTTTCAAAGATGAAAGAGCGTTTGATTTGAGCATCATTGCCGTTTTTAGTTTCTTTAACCTGGATTATACATAGGCGAATCCAATATGTCATCATAAAATTAAGTAATCGGATACATGGCAATGAACATCGTGGATGAGTAAAACTTACTTGAATGGATAGGCGCTCTAACTTTGGGGAGCTCGCGAACAAGTAAAGAACAAAAGAAAATTGGGATTGAGTATGTAGATATATATCTACAATGTTCAATGTTCGCAATTGTCCAAATTTTATTGGAAAATTTCTTGGAGGATTATAACGATGGAAGTACTGTGGCAAATCCAAAATCCAAAAATATACAAAAGTGTAAGTAAAGAAAAGTTTACCTGATATACATACGTTGAAACAAAAAAAATTAATTCACTTACCTGCCAAACAAATGTCCCAAGAACGAGCATCTCAACACTTGCCAAGGAACTGATGATCTTGTTCATGCTGTCGCTATGATACAAACCACTATCCAAGACTACTGATTTTATAGTAGGCATCGCTCCTTTTATGCATAAACTATTAAGGCAGCCTCTCACAAGCAAATCCTTAAGTTTTGGAGCAAGTATTGTCAAATTATTCACCGGCTCATAAATCATTAGATGGAGGCTCTCTAGCTGTGGGCATCTTGAAATACAAGATTCCAACATTTTTGCATCAATACATTCAAACCTGTTAGCTTCAATTTCAAGATGGATTAGACATGGAAAGCCCGTAAAAGTTGGAGGTAGAGAGAGGAGTTTGAATCTTTTGAGGGTCGAATGTGTCAAGCCCGAACAACTAAACAAACATGTAGGCAAATTCTTTAGTAGAGGAGGAGCAAACACCAGAGTGAGCTCCTTTACGTCATGGGCACAGACACACCGTATCCATATGTATGTTTCTCCCGGAAACCAAGAGGGAACGTAAAGCACGAACTTAGATATCGGACCAACATGACTAAGTATTATTTTGTTGACAACATTTGAGTAAATCAATGAGATATCCGCAGATTCGTTTCTTCCCTCTTGGATGCTCTTACAAAATGACTCATCAAGTATGAGTTGTTGATTAGAGGCCCATTGAAACCTCCAATGTTGCGACAACACGCTTGTCTTAGCGGCTTCTTTTAGTGGTAAACGTTGTAGGATTTTATGAGTTGAATCTAGTGGCAAGTTGCTGATTCGATCAGCATCCTTTACACAGCTTCGGTTGTTTATAGCAGCTGCAACGGCAGACATACTATGAATTGATTTTTGGAATCAAGAATGAAAGTAAGCAAAGAAAACTCAATAATAAAAGGAGGTTGTGAGACTGTATAAATTAAGGAAGGTAGTGACTAGTGAGATGTCATCGATATTTTATAACCTATTGAAGAAGGTAGAAAGACAGGTTTTACTAAGAAGTTGAAAGGTTTGATGGTATTTTCAATAAATTTGTGTTAGTGATATTTTCACTAGTTAAATAGTCACACCGTTAGTTCGTCTTGATTCATAGACTAGCCTTGAATGTGTGATCAATTTATGGAGAACTCCTTATTAAATTAGAGGATGAACGTTTGGTTGATTGCATAGTACAAACTACAAAGTAAGGTTTGACTCATACAGTCATACCTGCATCATTCCAAAAGTACTACGGAGTGGTTATTGGTAAATATTTTGCAACGTTTAATATTTCATTTCATATGTATATAGTATTAAATGGCTAGCTGTAGATTTGGCTAATTTTTTTTGAAGGGTCTACATTAATGTATGTATAAGACTAAGCCGTTTGGTTGGGGGTATTCAACAAAGGGAATGGGAATCAACGGGAATCATTCCCTTTGTTGTTGTTTGTTAGGCCACTTTTCCATTTCCCTTTACCCCCTTCATTCCCCCAAATCCCTCTAAGTTCATTCCCCACCCCCCTAGCCTTTTCCATTCCCTTTCCTTAGCCAGCATTACACCACCATGCCTACACCAGCCATCACCCTTCTACCCTACCCCCACCGCACAACCACCACCCAGCCACCTCACCGCTTTTCCCCCGGCCATCGCTGTGGTGTGTTGGTGGTGGTGTTGTGGTGGGGTTATTCCCTTTATATTTTTAAAACAAACAACACACTACATGGAATGGATTTTCATTCCATTCTCTTTCATTCCCTTTGTTTATTCCATTCAGATTTCCCTGCGCGAACCAAACGGCCCCTAAGTGTTAAATGGACACTGCTAATCATCGTCTTTGATTCTTTTGATACATGGATTGAAAATGAAAAGCTACAACTTTTGATACAAAAAAAAGAAAAAAAAATGATTTCACGTCGCATGTGTTAGCCGCCCTAGTCGTAAAAAATGTGAGACGAGATATTTTTAGCACCGGTATAAATCAATGTATCCATACTTATTATTTTCTCTTGTGTTTTTTTCCTGCATAAAAAAAAACATATATCTTCTCTCCGTCTAATAATATATTATTGGTTTATCATTTTTCATATAAATTAATAGTAGAGGGGAGTGTTTACAAATAAATGAATATTTTTTATAAGGTAAAGTTAATTAAAAATGTACGTAGATGTATTGTAGAATAATTATATAAAGCAAAAATAAAAATATTATAAACAAGCACAACATTTTAGATTGCCCAACAAAAGATAAAGAGACCATATTATACAAAGTAGAACATAAGTAATACGTAGTAAGTAAAAAAGTACTACAACGTAGCTCACAAACTCGAAAAAATTAAAGTACTTCTTTATAATTTTCATATAAAGCTAGTCTATTTAATTTCTAGCATGGTGTAATCAAGATTACTTCTTTGTACATGAACATGTAGCCTATGGACGGCTTATGTGGACAAAATAGCTTTAGGAAAAATATTTTAACATATGATATGTTGTATAAATATTATAAGGTATAAGAAGGCTAATTTTATACTCTTGTACTTGAAAGATGCAAGCACATATAATTTTTTTTGACTAGAAAGCACGTAAATATGTAAACAAAAAAAATGTATGTACGGCTGTTCACATACACAACATTCACCTAGTTTATGAAAAAATAGCCATAATGCATTGCATAATATCGGACTAACCAGAGTACCAAACTAATTCCAAAATGCAAAATATACAACCGGTTAAGAAGAACATCACAATAAATTCCAATTTTCTTTTAATTTCACAAAAAGATTTGACAAGTTCCATCTATTAGTTCATCTTTATAATGGGAATTTGGATCTGAGCATTTTCAAATTACTATAATAAGTACTGAAACAATATCTGTTATAGACCTTTAGTGCCTTACTTGTCCTTGATTATTATCTCAGCATTTGGTGAGGCTCGACAATATCGCATAGCCTCCAAGGCGAAATTGTATTTTTGTTCAACTTCCATATTCTTATGGAGCTCATTCGTCATATTCCCTAAGACAGGAGAATGGGCTAGAATGTATTTTATCAGCTGTAGCTCACGGATCCACCCTGATACACGAAGGAGTTGCACTTTTCTAAGGCATCGAAGGGTAAAAGAGCAATCAATCTGAAGTGGGTGATCATCGGTGACTTTCACAAGCTCGGAAATCTAATGTTTGAAAGGGCAAAATTAGATATGATTTGTTGAGCAACAAAGTATGTATGTTAATGAGATATTCAGTTGCCAAAACTTACTTCAATGTATAGTCGTTCTAACTGTGGGGAGCTCGCAAACAAGCAAAACAAAACAGAAATGTTGGACTTCTTATATAGTTTTATATCTGACAAATTCAAAGTTCGCAGTTGTCCCATTTTTATTGGAATTTTTCCAAAATAATCACTTTTCTGCAAATTCAACAATTTACAAAAGTTATTGAGGGAAGAAAAGAATAGCTGATAATATAAATAAATATGTTGAAACTTTAAATAAATTCAGTTTACTTACCGACCAAAAACGGCCTTTTAGGATGAGATTCTCAACGTTGGCAAATCAATTGAAGATCTCCTTCCAGGTGAAAGGTATTCTAATTTCCAGGTCTACTGTGTTTATAGTCGTAGTTCCTTCAATGTATAAACAGTAAAGGAAGCCTTTCACAAATAAATACTTAAGTTTTGGAGCATGAATTTTTAAAGAAGAGGATTCATACACGAGTAGATGTAGACTCTCAAGTTGTGGGCATCTTGAAATAAGAGTCTCCAATACCTTTGTCTCAACAGAGAGCTCTTGGCTCCCCACCAATTTAAAGTAAATAAGGCACGGAAAACCCATAAAAGACGGCGGAAGAGAGCGGAGTTTGCATCCGATGAGAGTCAAATGCGTCAAGCCCGAACATGTGAACAAACATTCAGGCAATTTCTTTTTCAGATTTGGATAAAATTCGCCATCACGAAAAACATAGTTTACCCATGGGTATCTTTCTCCGGGGAAAGAGGGAACAAAAAGTACAAACTTAGATATCGGTCCAACATGACTAAGAAGTATACTGTTGACAACCTTTGAGTAACGCAACGAGATATCTGCAGGTTCACTTTTACCATTTACGATGGTAGCACAGAATGACTCATCAAGTACAAGCTGTGGGATAGAAGCCCATAAAAACCTCCAATGTTGCGACAAAACGCTTGTCTTGGCAGCTTCTTGTAGCGGTAAACATTCTAGGATATTGTACGTTAAATCCAGAGGCAAGTTGCTTATTCGATCAGCTTCCATTTTTATTTGCTTGTTTATAGCAGCTCCAATGGCACACATACAATCTGTCAGATAATATAAACTCCTTGATTAAATTTTCATTGATCAATATTTATAGAGTTATAATAAGAGTCCTGATCATATTAGGTAACTAACAAGATATATAAAGATATCAAAAAGATATTTTTATACAAATTATATCTTAAACCTAGGATGAGAATATTCTATGGATATTCTCTATCACTATCAATTGATTTTTGGAATCAAGAATGAAAGTAAGCAAAGAAAACTCAATAATAAAAAGAGGTAGCTTAGTGAGATGTCAGCAATAATTTAAAGCCCAATGAAGAAGGTAGAAAGACAGGTTTTACTTTGAAGTGGAAAGGTTTGATGGTATTTTCAGTAAATCCGTGTTAATGATATTTTCACTATTTAAATAGTCACACCGTTAGTTCTTCTTGATTCATATACTAGCCTTGAACATGTGTGATCAATTAATGGAGAACTCCTTATTAAATTAGAGGATGGAACATTTGGTTACAGAGTAAGTTTGACTCATACTTGCATCATTCAAAAACTACTACGGAGTAGTCCTCGCTAAATATTTTGCAACGTTTAATACGTAGTACTATTTCATATCACATGTATAAAGTATTAAATGGTTTCCTTAAAAAAAAAAAAAAAAAAAAAGGTATTAAATGTATTATGTTAAAATGGACACTGCTAATCATCGTATTCAACATAATCCACTCCTCAGTTTACTTTGATTCTTTTGATAAATCGTTTGAAAATGAAAGGCTAAAACTTACGAAATTTTCGAAATTTTAATATTGAGATTGTAAATTAATTTATTTTAACAAATAGAGATAAATGATGTAAGCTTACATAAGAAGTGAAGGTAATGTCTGATAATGCAAGATCATCAATCACAATGGCTTAAGAACAAAGTTTGTGGGCATAACAGATGAGCAGAAGAGGCAATCCATGGTGCTTTGCTAGTTTGTTAAATCATATTGAGAGACTTTAGTGTTTCACATGTCTTGTGATACTGTCAAATTGAGATATGCAATCTCTGACTACACAGAAGACTACTTTGGATTTGTATTCAAATGTTCAAGTTGAAGCGGCGAAATGCAGTTCGCCCTTTACTTTGAGGGTATATAATGAACAAGCAACCTAATAGAGCATAGACCTCTACACAACTAAATCCAAGGTACAAAAGATTAGCAAGATTTGTTCAGTAGAGAAGAAAGCAGCTACTTGATTAGTTCACAAAAGATAAACAAAATATCATCAACTAGCCATATTATCCTAATAGTAGCAGCATATTTCAAGCCCCAGCTCATATCCAGATGTTACTAAAGTGTATAAAAAAGATCGAAGGCAGACTTGGAACAAACTAAAGTGCATCACGGCATCACTATACAATCCATACCATTTTAGGGACAGATAGAGTCTATATATAAACTTACTGTGTGTTGATAATAACTTCTACATTCGTTGAGGCTCTATGATATTGCATGGTCTCCTTGGCAAAATCGAACTTTTCTGGAGCTCCTCCCATCGTCGTACTGAGTTCAATTGTCATTATCTCCAGCAAAGGAGAGTATGCTAGTAGAAACTTAATAAGCTGTAACTCACCAGTCAGCCCAGAGATACCAAACAGTTGCACATTTTTGAGGCAAGGAAGGATGCAAGAACCTTTGATCTTATCTGAAGGCGGCTGATCAGAGACTGCATACTGTTTTGAAGCCTAAATTTCATAAAGATAAAGGTTATAGATGTCATCAAAGATGTGTGAAACTTGATGCATAAGCTGTGGTTACTTAAATCCAATAGGCCGGGGAGCTCATAAACAGGAAAACAGAAAAACTGTGAAAACTCACTTCGATGTATAGTTCCTGTAAATGAGGGCAGCTTACAAACAAGGAAAGAGCAAGAGAGATGGTCCACTGACGATGAAGAGTTATCCCTTCTAGTTTGAGAGTTCGTAGCTGTTCCAATTTGCTTGGAAATATTTTGGGAGATTCATGGCTTCTAAGTCTGCAAATTAAACATAAAATTATTGAGCAGCTACTAAAGAAATTAAGGAAAAGTAAATGATTAGTTACGACATACAACTTTTAAAGGTCATTTTACCCACCCACCAAAAGAGCTCCCTTAGAACAAGCTTCTCAACATTAGTCAAGCAATTGAAGATCTGATACGAATACAAACATGGAGAACTTTCAAGATTTACAAATACAAACAAGCTTCTCAACATTAGTCAAGCAAGCTTGTCACTAAACATTGATGCAAGCCTAGCAAGCAACGCACACTTTCTTGGATATCAAAGCAAAGCTACGGTTTGTTTAGTAGCTTTTCTTGGTATTTAGATTATTTCTTTGATTAGTTTACTTAGATTTTGCTACAAGTTTTTACCGTTCACTTGAAAGGGTTTTTCTTGGTTTAAGCATTAGGATTCTTCAAAGTTATTCTAGTTAAATTGTTAGGATATTTTTTTTAGTTAGTATAACTAATTTTAGGCATGTGGATTTAATTAAGTTAGGTTGTTAGAGTTGCTAAAACCGTGTAGCTTGGTTTTCAAGCTAAACTAGTATTCTACTTGCAATAGAATTCTAGGATCGATAGTCAAGTATGTTCGGGTCATATTCGGATCAGGTTAAAATCTGGTCGGGTCATATATGGGTTAGGTCAAAATCTGATCAGGTCATGTTTGGGTTGTTTCATATGTGGATCAAGCTCAAATCAATAAGTTTATACGAAGTATATATTTTGTTATTGTTATAATAAAAACTATCAATTCAGTTTTTTAGCTTAGCTACGGTTGAAGATGAACAATTTAAATTATTTTTGGCACAAGACATATTTAGTTCAATTATAAGGTAATTGTAGTTCGGGACATTTCGGGTATTGGGTCTGTTCGAGTTAATTTTGGGTATCGGGTCTGTTCGGGTCAAACACTTCGGATTAATTTCAGGTCGGGTCAGGATCAGGTCAACTCTATTTTCAAGTCGAGTCAATTTAGGGTCAATGTTTTTAGGTCATTTTCGGGTCAAGGTCGGGTCATCAAGTCTGGGTCAGGATTGACAGGTCTAGCCTTCAACACAACTTTTTCCCTATTTCCACCTATAACCCAAACCAATCACCCGAAACCCCCTTGAGAACCTAGGTTCAATTATGAATATAATGGTTTCGATAGAGTTAGTATTATATACTCTTGGAGTACTATGGATCATGGTACTCCATACTCAATATGCTGCTTAAATTTTCTGTTATTAAACCAACATGTTATTTACTTCAACATCAGGTCTTGGTATTTTACATAAAATTTGCGTTATTTTGCCAAAATATTATTTTATTTCACATAAGTTTCAACTTGTGTTATTTTACCAATAATACTCATATTATTTATACAAATTTTGTGCTATTTACTTAGACTTTGTGTTAGTTTGCTTAAAATTTTAATAATCTTTTGTATTCAAAACCAACTTATGTTTATTCTTACTCCTTTGAGAGAATTAAATATTAAATGATTTTTTTTTACAGCACATGAAAATTATTGTTAAGAGTGAAAAATTCAAATTAACACAAGAGCTTCATACAGTAAAATGATCAATATTTAGTTGATTATAAAAATAGCATACATGTATAAAATAACATGTACTTATTTAAAAATAACATATATATAAATTGATATAATAAGAAGTTCACATCAAAATAACATAAAATTTTATAAACCTAACCTGCAGTACCTTGTGCATGGTACTCCAGAAGTACAAAAGAAATTGCGATTTCGACACCCAAAACCCCCTTGAAAACGAAACTAGGTTCAGGAGTGGTGGTTATGGGGAAGCAGGCATGTACGGGTTAGTATTTTGATTATATCGATCTTATTCGTTATTAGTCTGAATTCGTCTTATAATATACCACTAAAAACCTCTTTGAAAGGGCTATCAATCTTTTTAGGCCTTGAACGAATATTAAGTGGCTTGGTTAATTGATAGGCTAGGTTTTTAACAATGTAGGTGTCTACAAGTATATTAATATCGGAAATATGTAAATCTTTTTGTAAATCTTTTTTGAAAGATTGTAAATAGAAATAGTTTTATTAGGACTTGGGAGTATGTAAATATTTTGTAGAACATACTAGACACGTAATCATTAAAGAAAAACACATAAAAGACAAACATAACCCTCTTTCAGAATGGAGAACACTAGCTAGCTAGTACACATACAAATTCGTTAACAAATTAAGGTACCATTTCATAATTTTACCTGAACTTTTTACCATTCTAATCTGTGCAAATCCCAATTTAAGCACTTAACTAAATACTGAGTACAGTGCTATTAAAAAAAAAAATACCGAGTACAAAACTCAGCAATATAAGAAATATATTTACAGATGTCTAAATGTGACAATACAGAACAAATTGTCTTTCTTCAAGTAGAGAAAAAATTCCACTATTTTTTTTTTCATTTTTTTTTTTTGACACAAAGAACAGCCATATTTATTTATCAATCACAGTAGCCAAGTCATTACAAATCTCATCATGAATATCTTGAGGACAATCCTCAAGCCAAAAACAAACGAGAAAGAAACACCATGACAACTTTACAAGCTTTGGCAATGTGAAGAATAACCTTAATGATACTACCAAACGCTGAACATGGAGTTTTGCCTGTCTTCAAGTGCTGAGACAAGATAATATTGTCACTTAATTCTATATACACTTTTCAGTCTTTTTTATTTTTATTTTTTATATATATATATAATTTTGACCATTAATAACTTTAGTTTCATATCAAATATAAAAAAAAAAAAAATCTGTAAAAGAACGGAATGAGTAATTATTGTTATAATTTTTATAAGAAAAAATTGTTAACCATAGATAATTGAAATTAATCATTTAAAAAATAAAAATAAAAATAAAATTGATATCAGCTTACATGCGAAAGCAATGTCTGATAACGCAAGATCTCAATCACAAATTCACAATGGCTTAAGAACCAAGTTTGTGGGCACAAGAGATGAGCAAAAGAGGCAATCCACGCACGGTGCTAGAATTTGTTGCTAGCTTGTTCTATCATATAGAAAGCCTTTAGTGTTTCACAGAGATAAGCAGTCCCTGATTACATAAAAGACTACTTTGGATGTCTTCAAATGTTCAAGTAAAAAACGGCAAAGTGCATCAAACACAAGCCACAGATCATAAAACACACCTAATACAGCATAAATCTCTACACCACTGAATTTAAGGTACAAATGATTAGCAACATTTGTTCAGTAGAGAGGAAAGCAGCTACTTAGATCACAAAAGACCAAAACATCATCAGCTAGCCATATTATCCTAATAGTAGCAGCACATTTACAGGTCATATCCAGATGTTACTAAAGTGTATCAAAAGATAGAAGGCAAACTCATCAACATACCATTTTAGGGCTTGTCCTCCTTCAATACAATACGTCAGTGATGGTTACGATAAAGTCTATAAACGAACTTTCTCTGTGATGATAATAACCTCGACATCTGCTGAGGCTCGACGATATCTCGTGGTCTCCATGGCAAAACTAAACTTTTCAACAGCTCCTCCCATTTTCTTACTGAGTTCTATGGTCATTTCCTCCAGTGAAGGAGAAAATGCTAGTAGATACTTTATAAGCTGTAATTCACCTCTCAGCCCACAGATACCAAAAAGTTGTACATTTTTAAGGCAAGGAAGGATGCAAGAATTTTCAATCTGAATTAAAGGCTGATCAGAGACTTCCCTCTGTTTTGATGCCTAGATTTCATAGAGATGCAAGATTACATATATCATTGAAGATTGTGTTGAACTAATAAACTTACAAGATATATAGAAAGAATTAAACAATAATAACACTCCTATTAAGTATTAAACTCATCTACTCAACATGCAATACATTACATAATTTACATAAAAGTAACCAACTAAAACTATAATATAGGAAGATAAAGATAATATCATGATCACATGATGAGAATAAATGCCTAAATAATCTGTCTACTAACAGCATAATAACTTAGCATAACTACCTAAGACGCGACTAACATATTGACTCCTAACTCTTAGTTAGCAGTTAAGTACTTAGCATAAATAAATGCCTTAACAAGCTAAGTACTAACCAATACTTTAGGAACTCAATTATCTACTTTGAAGGAATAAACTGATAAGGGGAAGAAAATTTTTAGAATTTACTTGATGTGTATTAGTAGAATAAACAAAATTAGAAGATTACTTGAAGGAAATAGGGGATCTCACAAACAAGCGAGCAAAAAAACTGTGATAACTTACTTTGATGTATAGTTGCTCTAAGTGAGGGGAGCTCACCAATAAGCAAAGAGCAAGAGAGATTGCTGGCTGATAATAAAGTGGTATTTCTTCTAGTTTGAGAATTTGCAGCCGTTCCAATTCCCTTGGAAATTGCGTGGGAAATTCATACCTTTCAATACTCTGCAAATTAAACATAAGATTCTTGAACAGCCAATATAGAATTTAAACAAAATTTTATAATTTGTTGCTACGTACAACTTTTATATCATTTACCCACCTTCCAAAAGCTGTTGCTTAGAGCAAGCTTCTCAACATTAGTCAAGCAAGTGAAGATCTCATTCATTTGTCTATTCTGTTCACAAATATGAATATCCAGGGTCAGTGAGGTTAACACTTTGGCTCCTTTCAGATATAATTCAGAAACCAGGCCTTTCAGACATAGGTCCTTCATATTTAAAGCATGAATAGTCAAATTAATTCGTGGCTCGATGATAAACAAGTAGAGGCTTTGAAGTTGTGGGCATTTGGAAATAAGAGTTTCCAAAACTTTGACTGCTACACGAGTGCTTGCAAAATAAAAACTGAACCTCATCTTTAGACTAATAAGGCTTGGAAAGCCTTTAAATGTTGGAGGAAGAGAAAGCAGTTTGCATCCCCCAATTGTCAAATGTGCCAAGCCCACACAAGAGAACAAACTAGTAGGCAAGTTCTTTTCTGGACCCCGATCATCCACTAGAGTGAAATCCTGAACACCATGAGCTCGAACATACCGTATCCATTGGCACAAGTCTGTTTCTTTTGGAAACCAAGCAGGAACGTAAAGAACAAACTTCCGTATTGGGCCAACATGACTGAGTAGAATATCATTGACAGTTTTTGAGTATGCCAATGAAATGTCAGCAGTTCTGGGTTTAGGCTTCCGGATGCTAGAAAAAAATCTCTTATCAAGTATAAGCTGTGAAATCGAACACCATTTTTGCCTCCAATGACTAGATAGGATGCTCATTCTTGCTGCCTCTTCCAGAGGTAAGCATTCTAGGATCTGTTGTGTTACATTTTGAGGCAAGTTGCTGATTCTATCAGTAGTAGTTTTGACGCACTTTCTTGGTAACCAAACTGCCGACATGTTGATGAACCTAAGACATACACAGGTGTAATAAACAATGTAAAAATAAATTAGAAGAAGTGGAATTATAAAGCATAAAATTTTTAGAGTAACAGAGTAAATTACATTTAATGAAGTAACAAGCTCAGAGTAATATTGCTGGCATCTTCTTATTACGGGGCGTTCAGGTTTAGCCAATTCAGGCTCCTTGAATCCTAAAATATGACAGAAATTAGTCAAACTACTCTCCTTAAGAAAGGTAAAGTATTCTTCAATTTTCCACTTACCTATACAACACTCCTCTTTAAAAAATTCTAACATGATCTACCTAAGATTCTTTCAAATTTAGCTTATTTTTTCTGAAATTGAAAAGAAAAACAATAACCCAAAAGACGTCTCATTTAGACCTTTGCGTTACAAGTACATTTTTGTTCATCTCTTTACATCAACTACCTAGTTCACAGCATTCTCTCACCACCAATTTCTGTTTTTCCACTTCCCAAAAAACTTCAAATGTAAAATTTTAGAAGATTTGATAAGTCAATTGTTCCTTAACTTGATGAAACAAGAACACAATTAAGGTTTCCCAGTTCCCACTACATCAATGACAAACTTTCTCCTTTTTAAATCTGAAGACATAGTAGGAACTCAAGCAATCTAAAATTAATATCACCCTCCTGATTGTTGCAATACTGAAAAGATAATATACATAGGTTTTATACTTAAGACGAGAAACCCGCGAGATGACTGCTTTGTGATTGATAGGTGGTAATGAACATTTATGATGACGAGGTATTTATCAAAGGGATTTCATTAACATGGTAATGAGCATGGTTTTCCATATAAATTTACACACAGATTCATTACTTCCCTGGCAATTATGACTGCTTACCAATGACACTTTAAGATCATTTCCAGTTTTAACTGAGATATCTTTGCCAGTTTCAACTGTGATAAAGTAATACTTTGTCACTCAGGCAGTTAGGCCCAATAACAGATCCCTAATCTTCACCGACAATACCCCCCAGAAGAAAAAGAAAAAGAAAAGGAAAAAAAAAAAAAAAACCTAATTAATTAAAAAGAAATGGATCATCAAATTGGTTACTACTAGTGTTATAATCAACTAATATAGCTACATTCCTAAGACAATACATTCTCATGCTGATATGCTTTAACCCGCATACTCATACAAGGTGTAAATAAACCAATGAGGTCTTTGCCAAGACAAAGATTGTGGATTGTACATAATATATCATAGGTTGAACCGCTTGCCATTTTGTAATTTGTACCTTGTTATATACTGACATTTACAAAACCGGTGTATACCCAAATCCGATTAAGATAAATATGAGTATATGATACCATTGATACCCCGATTCGATTAACACTGACATCACAAGTTTCTGAAATAAATATCTCAACAATTTACATCATGAAAATAATCTTTAAGCAGCCAATCCATTTTTAATACACCACCATTAACCAAAGTTAGCATCAAATTGACATATTTTAAGTAAAACCCTTCCATTCCAGCAGTAGAAAAACTCAGACCCCCAATATTAGAAAATTTCAAGGAGACAAAATTCGCCAAAGTTTATTATAAATCATCACAACACATAATTTTTATCTTAATTACTTCGTATATGAAAAACATAGACTACGTCTAACACTAAAAAAAAAAAAAATTAAATTAACTAAAAACACCAAATTTCTAACATAATTAGCAAGATCAAAACTTTAACAAAAGAACCCAAGTAATGTGTATGAAAGCATTTTAATTTATTACGGCAAAATTATCAATTCAAAGTTAAAACAAAAATGGTAAATCACTCAAAATTGAAGCCCAAAAACGGAAGTTAACTCAAAATAATAGCAAAATAATCAATTCAAAGTTAAAACAAAAATGGTAATCACTCAAAATTGAAGCCCAAAAACGGAAGTTAACTCAAAATAATAGCAAAATAATCAATTCAAAGTTAAAACAAAAATGGTAATCACTCAAAATTGAAGCCCTAGAAATGGAAAATAACTCAAAATTAAAGCAAAATTGAGAAAACAAATATATTATGGAGAGACGTACTGTTGTGCAGATAGCAATTGACAATTTGGCGAAGTTGATCAAAGAAAGAGATTCGAAATCAGCTGATGAAGCAAAAGAGTAACCGTGGCAACGAAGAGAAACATCAAACTTCAAGAAGCCATTGATTTAAGAAGTGTCTAGAGTATAGAGAAATCTAAGCTTTTATAGTACCTCCACGGCTCCACATTTTTATTTTTGAAAGTCTTATGTGTGGCTGATCATGCTGGGTGCCATTATATAAATTATTTCGTTAGTATAACAGGGGTTATTTGGTCAGTGTTAAAGGGTTACTTTGTTAGTGAATATGGGTTATCTGATCAGTGCTATAGGGGTTACTCGATCCGTATTACAGGGGTTACTTGGTCAGTATTATAAGAGTTACTTTGTTTTTTTATAAGTGGTCACACAGTGTGGCCAGCCACACACAAGACGAGCTAATTTTTTTAATATTTACCTCGATTTATTAAAAATTACAACACTTAAACTAAGACAAATTTTGACAAGATAAAAGTATATGTTTTAAGTCAGAATATTGTAATTATAGTGAAAACAAAGAGTAAAGCACATTATAGCCCCTAAACCATTGTATTTGTGCACTTTTGGTCCCTTAACTACCTAGTGTGCACTTTTAATCTGATCCTTAACCACCCATTGTGGTGTTTCTAAGTTCTAACTAAATAGTTTAGGGATTAATCCATCCTAATCAGCAATAGTTTAGGGAGGAAGGCCGAAATCAGGACGGAGGAGGGTCGAAATCAGAACAGTGAAGAGGAAGGGGTTGGAATCAGGACGGAGAAGGGGACGGGTCGAATCCAAGATCACTACTAGAAATAGGCTAAATTACGACGGAATACTTACGACGGACATTTTTTTCCGTCGTTAAGGTGGATATTTACGACGAAAAACATTTCGTCGCAATTTAGCGACGAAAAATTTTAGTTACGAGGCATTTTCCCTCGTAAAGTTTACGACGGAATATTCCGTCGTAAAGTAATTTGCGACGGAATATTCCGTCGTAAGTTTATATTTACAACGGAATTTATTTCCGTCGTAAAAGTCATTGTCATTTTTGAAAATTAAAATTGTATCCTTGACCTAAAAAAAGGGGGAAAGAAATGCAGAGAGAGAAAGAGAAGCAGTGGCAGGAGAGAGAGAAAGATAAGGAGAGAGAAGAAAGAACGAGGCGACCTTGGTTTTTCCGGCGACGCCTTGGTGAACGAAAGAGAAGGAGAGAGAAAGAGAGAGGGAATTTTTGGAGTCGTTGCACAGAAGAAAGAGAAGGAGAGAGAAAGAGAGAGGGAAAGAGAAGTCGCCGCCGTCGGTGACCCAAACCTCAGCCCTCCGTCACGCAACTGTCGCCGTCGGTGACCCAAACGGAGCCGACATTGTAAGAGAGAAAGAGGACGAGTAGGAGAAAGAAAAAGTGGCCGAGAAGGAGAAAGAGGGCGGCTGAAGGGGCGGCTTGTGTCCGTCGTCGAGCCTCCGTCGCCACCTTACCAGGTCAGTGTACACCTGTTTTTTTTTTTTTTTTTTTTTCATTCAAATCTGACTCCGACCTCCGGCCTCCTCCCCTAAATTCTGTTGAAGAAAACAAACAATAAACCCCAAAATAACCCCTTTCAATCACCCCTAAATTCTGTTGAACTTCCTGAAGAACTCATCTTTTCTGAAATCCTTCCAAGATTGCCGGTAAATTCCTTAACCCGCTTCAAATCTGTTTCAAAAACATGGAATTTTATTATCTCCTCCCCAAAATTTCATCAATTCCCATCTCAAATGCACTATTTGAAACCCTTTTGTGCCCTCAAATTGTGTGTTTATTAAATCTGCTTATGATTTTTACATTCTTAATTATTCTGCATATGATAGATACCCAGATGATAATTATGATGAAAAGGGTTTGATTAAGGTTAAAAGTCTTCATTTTGATGATAATGGTGTGAATACTTTCTTAATTGGTTCATGTAATGGGTTAGTATGTTTTGGGCGTGGAACTGCTTTTAGTAAATTTGGCTATAACTTTCGTGTTTATAATCCAATAATGGGTCAGTTTCTTCATGTGTAAGATCCTTTAGGGAATTTTCAAGGGAAATTGATTTTTGGGTTTGGGTTCGTTTCTTGTAAAAATGATTATTTGATGTTGGTTGGTGGTCTTCAGAGGAAGAGTTATAAGAATTTTGTGTATAATTATTTATTAAGGTCTAATGATTGGAAGAAAATCGGAGCGTTTGATGAAGATGAGTTTTCGATATATTTGGGTGGTAGAGGAGTATTGGTTAATGAGACATTGCATTGGCTTACAACCCAAGTTCGAAGAACGAACACTAAGTTTATAAGTGGCTTTGATTTGGTTTAGTTTAGTTTACTTTTTTGTGGGGTGAAGATATCAAGTTTAGTTTAGTTTAATCTAATAAGCACATACTTTTTTGTATAAGTGAACGAACACTAAGTGCTTGGGGTGAAGATATCTATGGTGGGGTGAAGATATCAAGTTTAGTTTAGTTTACTTTTTTGTTTTGTTTAATATGATGTATGTTAGATTACTTTAGTTCATTATAATCTATGGAGGAGTGAGGGTTGAAAATTGACATATGTGCTTATTTCTCTTAATTTCTATCCTTAAGCACTTAAAAGCAATTGATATTGGAATTTTAGAAGAAAGAACGAGTCCATTTGCTTGAAAACTTAGAAAATAGGCATGGTTTTAGCCATATAGGCCAAATTTGGATGATTTTGGATGAGTGAGGGTTGAAAATTGACTTATGTGCTTAATTTTCTTAATTTCTATCCATAGGCACCTAAAAGTATGCGATATAACTCCATATTGTTGGTTGTTTTTTTAACAATATTTTTTTTATCTTCAATATTTTGTAGGACACCTACCAGAAGAAGCTCGAAGAAACAAGGAGTCAGGGGATTCAGAAGACCAGATGGAACACAGGGTGCAAACTCTCCAAACTCAAATGGAAGCCCGAATGGCAAAAATGGAGAGGAGATACAAGGAGAGTTTCGATGAGATGATGAGTCGTCTCAACAACAACGACTCATGTTCCACCATTCATCCTCAGCATCGAGACCCTAGGAACGACCCGGGTGGTGGTGGAGCAGGCCAGGGTTTCTAGGCGATTGCGTAGCTTAGCTTTAGTCTAGCATAGAATCACTCTAACCTACCTTTTGTTTGGTATAGATACCAAAATGTGGACTATCTTTTGTACTAGGACATAATTATTATATATATATGTACATAACCATAACCCTAATTTCGGAGGTCGGTAATTAATTTTTTTTAAAACAACAATTTTAGGACTCAATATAAAGTTTTAAAACATAATTATTATATTATTTGTCGATTTATCATTAAAAAAATTCAGGTTTGAAAATGCAGAAAATTACCAAAATTAGTTTCGGGCTGGAAACTAAAATTTGCGACGGAATTTTCCGTCGGAAGTTTGCGACGAATATTCATGAAAGGCCAATTCCAAGTCCGACGATTTTATTTTCGTCGTAAGGTTGGTTTACGACGGAATTTCCGTCGTAAATTGGCCATTTTCCTACAAAAGGTTTTCCGACAACCATTTACGACGGAATTCCGTCGTAAACCAACTTTACGACGGATTTTACATAGTTTACGACGAACTATTTCTGTCGTAATTTTGTTGTTTTCTTGTAGTGGATCAGGATGTGGAAATGGGTTTTCGAGGGTGGGGGATGGTTTAATTTTAGGGGGTTTCATGGGGGAGGGGCTGGGTTGGTGGTTTATGGGGAGGGGGAGGGGGCCCGATGTGGGGGGACGACTAGAGCCGGGGGCAGGTAGGGGGGTCGGGCTAGCGGGGGTGGGCGGCGGTGGGGAGGGTTGTTGGGCTAGATTTATAAAACATAATTAATTTTTTTTTATTTTTCTAAAATAAATCTTTTAATTTTTTTTTATTTTTTTGTCAATCGCATGCCGACACGTGTCAGGTACCATGTTAAGTAACTTGTTATAACAAATAAATTAGATGACTAATTGGGGCCATTTTGAAAGGGATTAACATTAAAGTTTGGATTATTAAAAAATAATTAGAAATTTGGATTATTTTAGGCGGATAAGCCACAGTTCGAATTATTTTGGGCAATTATTCTAAAAAAAGGAAGATTAATTAATCAACATTGAATACGGAAAAAAAAAATCAGTTTTTTTTTTTTTTTTTTTTTTTTTTTTTTTTTGTGTGTGCATAAGAGGGGACAAAGCCCCGAGAAAATAAAACAAACAAGAAATAAAATAAGGAAGGATAAGTCGTGGCAAAGCCTCACTAACTACATCATCATGCAAAATACGCCCTAAAGTTATAGGGGGAATTGAATCAATTCAATGGAGTTGTTCTGGGATACTCTGTGATTGGCTAACCAATCTGCACTCTGTTTGCTTCCCTGTAAACAGAGAATCACCTCTACCTGCCAATTTGTATCCTCTAGCAAACACTTGCATCTTTACAACACGTGCACACTCTCTTTACTGTATGTACTAGAACTACTCAAAGCTTGAACCAATGCTTGACTATCTAGCTGAACTTGGAGTTTTTCAGGTTGCATTCGAGCAGCCAGATGAAGACCATACTCAAGAGCCTTTGCTTCTGCCGGACTGCCATGAAATAAAATATTAGCAATGTGACTATTCGTATATAAAAAAATATTTACTACGTACTCTCCTAGAATGTCTATCCCTACAAGAAGCCGCTAAGACAAGTGTATTGTCGAAATATTGGAGATTCAAATGGGCTTCGACTCCACAACTTATACTTGATGGGCCATTTTATAATAGCATCCGAAAGGGAAGATATGAACCTGCGGACATGCCATCGACTTACTCAAATGCTGTCAACAACATACTACTTAGTCGTGTTGATCCGATTTCTAAGTTCGTGCTTTATATTCTCCATAGGTTCCCAGGAGAAATATACAAGTGGGTAAGGTATGTTTGTGCTAACGATGTCAAGGAACTCACTCTTAAGTATTCTCCCATTATGAGAAATAATTTGCCTGAATGTTTGTTCACATGTTCGGGCTTGACTCATTTGACTCTCATCCGATGCAAACTTCTCTCTCTTCCTCCATCTTTAAAGGGCTTTCCATGCCTTATTTATCTTAATTTGGAAACCTGCTTTAGTCTAGACAAAACTTGTATAGATGCAAATGTGCTGGAAACTCTTATTTCAAAATGCCCAAAACTTGAGCAATTGTTTGTGGGTGGTTTACCTTGATAGTTTACGCTTGAAAGGAACTACGGCTATTGACCTAGCTTTCGGCAGGAATGAGATCTTCAATTGCTTTGCAAACATTGAGAATCTCTTTCTAATAGGCTCTTTTGGGTTGGTAAGTAAACTGAATTTTAAGTTCCAACAGTACATATTGCAGCGCGCTATTCTTTTCTTTGCTCATTCACTTTTGTTAATTGTTGGCTTTGCAGGAGTTTATTATTGAATATATATGTACTAAAACAATTCCGAAAGAATTTAAACAGTTGCGAACTTTGTGTTTGGAAAATATACAACTAAATCCTTACAACATTTCGTTTGTTCTGAACTTGCTTACAAGCTCCTCACAGTTGGAGAGACTGCTATTCACTAAAGTGAGTTTTAGGAGTTACTTCGTATATATTTACTCGTATGATCTGGTCAATTTTAATGTGACGTTTGATTATTTAATTCTTGATGACTTTTATAAATAGGCTGAAGAAATTACAGAAGTCACTGATGATCACTCAATTCAGATTGAATGCTGTTACACCCTTCAATGCCTTAGATATGCACAATTCCTTGATATCTCAGGGACGAGTGGCGAGTTACAGCTAATAAAATATATTCTAGCCCATTCTCCTGTCCTAGAGGAAATGACTATTGAGCTCATAGGAGGAGCTGAAGAGAAGTTCAAATTTGCAACAGAGGTAACGAGGTATTGTCGAGCCTCACCAAAGGCAGAGATAATAATTAAGGCTAAGTAATGTCTTCAACAGATATTTGTTCTGTACTGTCCAATATAGACAACTCTGAAAAATTATAATTCCGATTGTAATTCCTCTGTTTCGTTTACTTGCTACATCTGGACTTTTACCGTATTCATATACTCTACCTTGACCAAGTTTGATGATTTAATAGTCAATGTGATTACTGTAATCTTGTTATATTCACTTCAATTAATTGACAATGTCATAATATCATATTGTTATAATATTGTGGTTAAAATTATATATATGATCGAAAAAATATAATGGAAAGTATATAAGAATTGTTGCAAATAAAAAGAAATTGAAAAATATTGTATTACTAACTTCATTAAATGGAACTTGAATTCCAACAAAGCAGACGAAAGTCTTAAACTGTGTATGACAAATCATAGTTTGAAATATCAAACATAAAATTAGTATTTAGTAGATCAACCTGGAGTAACATTCTTATTATATTCTTCGTAACATGAATCTTTTCATATAAATCAGTAAATCACACCTTATTGAGTTGAAGTCTCAGGGCTTTAGAATAATCTCTGCATTTGGCGAGGCTCGGTCATATCGCATCAACTCCTTTGCTACTTCTATCTCTTTTTCAGCAGTTGAAGTCTCACTGAGCACAATTGTCATTTCCTCAAGAGCCGGAGAGCATGCTAGTAGAACTTTTATCAACTCCATACCCTCCTTAAAGACAAATTCAACGTATTTAAGACAGGAAAGTATGAAGTTTCCCTTGTTCTGTACACTCTTCCCTGAACATTTCTCAAATGATGAAGCCTAATTTTACATGAGAGTGAATGTTAGATTACTCATAATTCAAGTAAGATTTGAGATAAGTATTCAAGCAAGCTGAAAGATAATAGGTGAACATGATATATGAGCTATGGAAAACACTTACATTGATGCATAGTCGTTGTCAGTGAGGAGAGCTTCGAAATAAGCAGAGGATAAAAGGGACTGCATAATTACAATTGAATAGTACTTCCAAAAGTTTAAGAGTTTGTAAAGATTCCAAATCTTTTCCAAGCTTTTCAGGAGGTTCAAGATCACAATAGAGTTTGCAATTCCGCTGCAAGACAATAAGATCAACAATTTAGCACAAAGGAAACAAAAGCAAATTAAGACACTGGTTATTTTACAAAATGAACTACTAATTCGGGCTTTAATCGTAGTTAATTACCATGGTATACCAGAAAGATTTATGAAGAACAAGCATTTGACAGCTGAGCAAGGAGCCGAAGAATTCTCTCATGCTTCTCGTCAATCCAGCGTCCTGCAAAAGTACCGCATCCACTCCTAAATTTTTTATATTTCTAGTTGCTTTGAGGGATAGACTAGACATTATGCCTTTCACAACCAAATCTTGAAGTTCCGGAGCACAAATTGTAAAATTAATCATCTTTCCGAGCATACATAATGTGAGTTTCTGTAATCGCGAGCAAAGGGAAATAAGCTTTTCCAACATCCATGCCTCTAATGCTCCGACTGGTACACTCGACATATGCATGTCCATGCTAGTAAGGCAAGGAAGTCCTTTGAATGTTGGGGGCAGATTCAGATCATGGCAATTGAATAGTGTCAACTGCGTCAACCCCACAAAAGAGCATAAACAAGCAGGCAGCTTTTGTGACAGAGACTTATTATAGTTTTTGAGAACAAATTTTTTGATGCTACTACGAGAATCCAATAGTAATAGCCACTGATTTATGTCGGCTTCTAAAAACATCCAAGAGAGATAGTAAGAGCAAGTTTATCAATAGGGACAATGTGACGAAGTAGCATATTTTCAATGATATCTGAATATGTTAGTAAGGCCTCGATACTTCCCTTTGCAAACTTCTTCAGGGCATGATTAAAGAATTTTTGGTCAAGTATTACTTGAGCAAGCATAAGCCATTTATACCTCCAATATCTGGATAAGATGCTCATCCTCACAACATAATAATAAGGTAAGCGTACTAGTATACACTCTATTAAATGTAATGGCAAGTTGCTGATAAGATCATTGCTCTCTCTGCAAAGCTGCTTATTGATTCCTGCAACAAATATTACAGATATGCTATCAGCAAATCGATTAACGAAAATTGCTACTGAACCAAGCTTAAACTGCTTCTCCTTCATTAGAAATCATCTAGCAAAACACGAATATTGTAATCTAGAGCCTTATAGTACTAATACATGCTTTAAACTTCACATAAATCAGGCCAATTATGGAGGAGGCACTAAGCTAACAGATGCTCATAGATTTTACGCCCAAGTCGAGATTATTGAGTACTTTACACTTATAGATCTAAGTACTTCCCACTAGACAGTATCGTCTTCTGTTTAAATGGAAGAACACCATCCTCAAAAATCAGAGTACATGTGTCATGGTCCAAGAGTTCTGACACCGGATCACGTCGTGCGGCGCGCTCTTGTCTTTTGGCGACAAGGACGCAAGCCTAGAGCGGCTAGGGTTTGTGAGCACATAGCAACACGGACCAAAGGTATCTCAAGGAAGCACTCGTCAACAACGAGTGCGGAGTCGGGACTTGTGACGGCCGATATTTTGAAGCGGGCACAAGCGGGACCGACGACAATGAAGGCGTCTTTTGAGGTTCTCTTGGTTTGGAGGGGATGCTTTAAAACAAGGCAAGCATAATATCTTTAAAGGCTTAAACCAACACACAAGTCAAAGCAATATGCAACGGGGTTGGGAGCTTTGATTCATTCAACCATTCGCTCCCTAAAGAGCTTTATATTGATTACATAGAGAATTACTAGTGAACACTGAAACTACAATAACACAATAATTCTCCCTAAAGCCTAGAAAGCATAAAGAAAGACTTAGAAGACAATATATAAGGAAAATACAAGAAAAAAGGAAAGGGGATACATTGAGAAAGAGGCGGATTCTAACAACATGATACCAAGAATAATAGCTATTTACTAAATATTAAAGACCATTATCTTATTTTAAATCTTAAACAACCCTAGTTAAACCAGTTTAGATCATTTCAATGTACCAATTATCATTTCAATTTTCTTGTACAAGAAATTGGCCCTATATAATACTTAGTATAAACTTTCGGACTTTCGCTTAGAGTGATCCAAAAGACGAATAATTTAAAATAGGCTCTACAAAATCCTAAATATATAGGCAATTTCCCAACAATCGTTGAATAATAGACCATTCAATTGTTAATCCAAATAAACAAGATTACAAGAACCAGGTTCAATTTTAAAGTTCTGAATTCAGTGATTTATCAAATTTCATATCGATACAGAAGAGTTACTCAAATTACATACCATTGAAATCCAATTCTAGTCTAATTTATCAGAAATCAAAGAGAATTAATATTTTATATGATAAAACCACCCTAAAACCTCAAAATATGTACATTTTATTAAATCAGAAAGTAAAAACTAATCCCAATTCTAATCTTAAAATATAAATCGGGTACAATCAAAGTTATAGTTTAACTATCAAATTCAATACTCAAAGATGAAAGATTATGGTATATAAAGAAAGCCTCAAAATTTGAGTTTTCAAAAAAAAAAAAAAAAAAAAAAAATTTAAAAAGAAAGCCTCAAAATTTGAATGCGTGAAGAAAGTTGAGAGCTTGATGAATTGAAAAATATGTAACCTGATTGACAAGTGGACTCCAATGCCATTAATCACAAATTAACAAATTCTGTCAATTTTTGTATGTGACGTCTGAAGCAATTTGATGAGAATTACGCAATTACCTCAAGGGCTCAAGGTGCAAACAAAAGTTATTATTGTATTTCCTCTGGTTTACCGTAATTCCGTCAACGTACTTGTATTATAGATGGTAATCTTATAGAGAAGCTTAATAAAAGATAAACTTTAAGAGACACTTAGAATAATAGGTTATCGAAAGCTGACACGAAACAATAAGCTGAACTCAATGCACATATGTGTGTATAAAATTGGTTCACTTTGTATTTCATGTATCTTATTTCATTTCACGTGTGTATAATAATATGCAGCGGTGCGGTTTGAAAAATCTCAAACCGAATTAATATCATTTCACGTGTGTATCAATGCATGGTTTCAACCATACAAATGTTATTTATTATGAAGTAATAAATAAATTTATAAAATTAAATTTGATATTATGATAGTGTAAATTGAAACTAATCTAACAATATTGTACATAATGATTTAAACGTTTTACTTAAATATTATACTTAGTGTAATGAAAAGGAAAAGTTGTTAGAAACTACCCACTGAATAGGTCATTTTATTAACAACTACTCATATAAAATGTTAGGAAAAATTGCTAGGAACTTTGTGATAGTTAATAACAACATTATATAAATATGTTATAGTCTAGGATAATATCTTCATTCATATTTTCTTGTGTTTCTAGCTGTAATGTCAGGGTTTTAAATGTCATTAGATAACCTAGCTATCAAGAAATATAATTATACAAATTAAATTAAAATATAAAGTGAAGTGTGTAGTTTAGTACCTAATTATCAGTTATCAATAGGTAACCAAATGAGTAGAATGGTAGCATAATAAAAATAATAATTATCAATAAGTAATCAATTTTGTTAATTACATAAACTACGGAGCCACCTAGCTCGAAAAGGGAAAAAAAAAATTAAAAATTAAAAAATTGGCCATATTGGTGCTAAGGAGATTCGAATCTCAGATCTAGGAAATTGAAGCTTTAACTCAAAAAAATATTGCGGATTACCACTGAAGTAACAACTAGATAACATAAATCAGTTGACATATATAATATATATATATATATACAGAATTCTGTAGAGGCTAAGTTTATAAATCAACGATTGCGGAGCCGGGCCTCCACCAGCCCCTTGTCAAAAGCACAAATGCTATAAAAAAGAATTTATCATGGAAGCTTCCTAAAGAAAGTCGTCCTCGTCTTCATATACTCATTCATTGCATGATGTTTGAGTCATGCTCAGAAAGTCAACAGAATAATTAACTACTCTTTAAAAAAAATTGAATTTGTGGTATGTATTAGCTAGGATTTTGATATTAGGGGAGATTTACAAATAAACAATACTATGTAGAATAAGTACTCCGATCCATAGTCCGTACCTCATATGTGCATGTGTCCACTCTTATCATATACACAAAGTGACAAAGGTAATTGTACATTATGATATTTTCTAAATAAAAACATTTTTTTTATACAGTAAGGTCAACTAGACCCAACCTAAAGTCCTATCAAACAACATACCATTAAAATTTTAAATGATATGCATGTAATCTATGTAATGTAATTCCACAATTTTACTTATAAAATCATGTCTGGTCAAATTAAGCTACTTGACTAAGTATTTGCTTAGCACTCATCATTCATCAATCATCATATAGGTCCTGTTTGGTAATTAGCTTTTAGCTGATTGATATAGTTGGTTATATTAACTGGTTTGACTATTTGGTTATATTAGCTTATTTGACTAACTAGTTGTAAATAGCTGATTATTTAAAAGTGTTTGGTACATAGCCGATTATTCTTAACTGTTTCAATGTATTAAATACCTAAAAAGCTAGATTTTCAATAAGCTATTTGCAAAAAGTTCTTAAAATGAGCTTTTTCAAAAAGAGCTTTTTGGACCCAAAAAAGCTTTTTAATAACCTATTTATCAAACACCTAAATTAGCTTTTTAAAATGGTCAAACCTCTAATAGTGATTAATAAGTTAAAAACTTTCCAAGAAGCTCTTTACAAAACAAGGCCATAGTCAAATTATTACTTAATTGTACTTATTTATATTATTAATTTTTTGATCAATAATTATCAAATTAATCAGTCAAGTCTTGAATCTATCTTAATGTAATATTGTTATACGAATAATGCACACTACTTTGTCTAGCTACTTAAGTTTCATGGGTGATTTCTCTATTACAAAAAAATCCTTTAATTTATTCAAACCTTTGAACCGTACCCTTCTTCAAATTTACTTATTTCTTCAGATTACCACAGTACATGAAAATGAAGAGGTTATTCATTTTGCTCTTTCCTCTGTATTCTTTGATTTGCATACAATGTAGTGTTACGACTGCTACCGGTTCTTCTGAGGCCTTTCATACAATTAAACGAGCTGGAAAGTTGTCAACTACGCGCTTTGAAGCCATTTACCAGTTCGGAGACTCCCTCTCCGATACTGGTAACTTAATTCGGATTCCTGGGTCACATGACCCCTCCGCAAATCTCCCTTATGGACAGACCTTCGGTCGTCCCACTGGCCGTAGCTCCGATGGTCTTCTCATGGTCGATTACTTTGGTATGGTTCACCTAACACCTTTTATGCATATACTTTAAAGTATCAACTTTTATTATACTCGTATTAAATAAAATATTTAGTATACAATGATTATCATACTCGTATTACATAAAATACTTAGTATACAATGATTATTATACTCGTATTAAACAAAATATTTAGTATGCAATGACTGTATCGGGTCAATACAACCGTCTCTCAACCCCCATAAGATAAGAACGAGGGTTGATCTGATGATTGAATTATTACCTCCGTTATTTTTTAGTTGCAACAAAGAAATTTTTTATATATAGCAAAAAACCCTTTGTTACATCTAAAAAGTAACGGAGGTAGTACATGAAGAGATTGACAATAACTAACATTATTAATTTGGAATCATAGCTAAGTACTTTCACCTACCACTCGTAAACCCATTCCTGGCCAACGGAAGCAACTTCAACCATGGAGCCAATTTCGCCGTTGCAGGTGGGACTGCTCTAGACGCGGCCACTTTGGCTACAAGAAATATTACATTGCGGCTAGCCAATGTCTCGCTGGTTTCTCAACTTAGTTGGTTTAAGTCTCACCTCCATAATATTTGCTGCAGTCCAGCAGGTACATGTACTAGATACTCGTAGTAATCTTTTACTTCAGATTAGTTGCAACATCTATTTCAAAATGTTATCAACCCTGTATTATTTTTTTCAAATTTAGTTGAAGTTATGCATTAACAAATACTAATGTAAAAGTCAAAATGTTTAACTTTTTCGAAATGATAAAGGAATTTTATTTTTATACTCCGTACTAAGTACTAAATTGCTTGCAGAGTGCAAAGAAAAACTTCGAAAATCTCTAGTACTAGTAGGGGAAATTGGAGCCAATGACTATAACTATGCTCTTCTTCAACGCAGAACAATGAAAGAAGCATATAAGCTAGTTCCCGAGGTTGTAAATACCATCATACATGTCGTTAGAGTGAGTTACTTTGCATCTACATAACTAACTAATTAAAATAATGTTGTCAAAAAAATTTAAGTGATCGCGATTGATGCTATGTTTCTTGCATAATTATTTTGCAGGAAGTGATTAAGCTTGGGGCGGTTAATGTTGTGGTACCGGGAAATGTTGCCATTGGTTGCGTTACTTCTCTTCTATATAGATATGGTTCAAATGATTCCTCAAAGTATGATGATCTTCATTGCTTGAAAGAGCATAATACTCTTTCAAGGTTCCACAATCACCATCTAATACAAGCTATCAAGATTTTGAAACGTGAAAACCCGAGTGTTGCAATTGCTTATGGAGACTACTACTCTGCCACAACTTGGGTCCTTCGCCACGCTTCTTCGTTAGGTTAGTTATTGGCTTAGCTTCTTTCTCTGTCCATTCGAATTTAATTGTCACTGTGCATTATCATCCGATGATCTTACTATAGTAGGGGTATGTTTGAAAATTAATTTACAGGATTCGAGAAAGATGGCCTGTATAAAGCATGTTGTGGAATAGGTAAGAATTCATACAATTTTGATCCAAGCAGACCTTGTGGGAGTCGAGGTGTTACAGTTTGTACAAATCCTAATAGGCGCGTGAGTTGGGATGGGACCCATTTGACTCAACAATCATACAAATACATGGCAAATTGGTTGTTAGGACAGTTCCTACCTAAACTTTAATTAAGATCGATGTGTATCGATGTCTAGTGTATGGATCGAAGTAATATATCTTTACTTTAATCTATTTACATAGCATAATATGAGCCATTTAATATCTAATAGTATGGATATTTATGTTTGCAATACTTCTAGTTTGTTTTCTACTCTTTTTTTGATGCATTAAGAATTCCTCATAATGAAAGTTTTCTAATATTTATTTATCTTACGTTAAAAAAAATATATATTAAACAGCATTTATCTCCGTACTTTGCATAGCTTTTGTATTGCAAATAAGGAATTTTAGCTTATTTAATTATGCTCTTGTTGATGATGTCGACAAATATTTCCGCACGAGGGGCGAGTGTCAATTGGTAGAGACATGAACTCCTTCGTATACAACAAATTGTCTTTTATAGATCGGCCTATCTTTATCTACAAGCTAAAATTAGAAACAGTTAAAAAAAATAACTTTTTAAAAACAATTTTTTGTATGCGGCTTACCGTACCGAGCAACAGTGGTTACTCGAGTTACTCGGCCAGGGGTTACTTAAGTTACTCCTGACTAAGTAACCCCTGACCGAGTAACGTATCCTTCAAGTAACCCCTGATTGAATCCTCAAGTAACCTCTGACCGAGTAACCCCTGACCAAAATCCTTATGTAACCCCTGATCGAATTACTCGAGTAACCCCTAACCGAGTAACTCGAGTAACCCTTGACCGAGTAACCCCTCAAGTAACCCTTGATCGAGTGAACGCCTCGATTGAGTAACCTTTGTACGAACCTCTCAAGTCACCCCTGATCGAGTAACTCGAGTAACCCCTGACTGAATAACTCGGGTAACCCCTGCCACACGGTGTGGCCTGCTGGTAGAGGGATAAATCGGTCGTTGGATAATCATCCTAAGCCAAACAATATATCTACCTAATCAAACCTAGGACAAGTCTAGGGTAAGTAGAGGATCGTATTCATAGGGAATGGACAAAGAACACCAAGAGTATGAAACGATTGTAAGCTAATTCGGTCACAAATTAGGGTTTGATTAGTTAATTTCTATAGAGATGAGTGCTAGGGGAAACAAGATTCAACGCCAACCAAACCAAACAATTAATAACAAGGATAAATCATGAACATACCCTGGTGATAAAATAGGAACTTAACATTATCTTCTTTCAAAGTACGTCACAACATAAGTATTCCCTAGATCAAACACTAACATGAATAAGAGTAAGTCTCAATGATAGGAAGTGGGTTTCTAGCTCGAGTTTGTCTCTCGATTGTTTCGAACTATCATGAAACACAAATAATTGGGATTTCTCACCTAATTACCACACTAAAGCATCCTATTCAATGGAACCAAACATCCATAATCATGAAAGTAGCATAATCTAACTGCACAAGAAATGACTCACTACTAAACCCCATCTTTCAATGTAAGTAAAGGAATGAACACATGAGCATGAAGTGGCCACCAAAATATACATGCAATAATCAATTCAAGCACAAAGAGACATCAACCCAAAGTAAAACATGAAGGAATCCAAGTCAATCAACCATGGCTTTGTTTGGTTTTCACCCATCCCCTAACTAAGGAACTACTCACTAAACATGGTGGAAATCAAGCTAACAATTAAATCTAGGGTTATCATGAATTCAAATAAATTAGGAGAGAGATAAAACAAGGATGGATTAAGCATGAAAGAACAATTGACAAAGATTAAACAAAAACTAGAATAAAACCAAGATAAAATCAGAAAATTAAACAATAAAGGAGAGAGAAAGAGATTACTAATTGATACTTCAAGGTTAAGAATGATTGTTGATGAAATTGATAGAACAAACTTCAACTAAATCTTACAAATGATTGTGTTTTTGAGAATCTAAATTAAGGGAGAGGAAAACTATGCACTAACTAAGAGGATAAGCCTAAGGGAGTTAAGAGAGAAGCAGGTCCGTACAAATGAAGCTAAGGGTGGTATTTATACCCCCAAAAAATTACATAGGAAAATCCGTCAAGAAAACCGGATATCAGCTAGGAGCGCCTGCTCCATATACTTGTGCGTCCGCTCCCGTGCTCTTCAGAAAATTGGCAGATTCAAAATACTAGGGAGGAGCGCCCACTCCATGCAAGGTGCACGCCCGCTCCTCGCAGGTGTAAAACTTGGCAGATTGTTTGGGGAGATGAAGGAGCGCCCGCTCCTGTGGAGGTGCATGCCCGCTCCACCAAGAGCGGGCTCTCCCTTCTTCTTTCTTGCTCCATCTCAAGTCCTTAAAGAGCTATTTTTGCACCAAAGCTTCACTTACACTTGCAAGTCATGTACACAAACACACAAAGAGAGGGAAAAGCCAAAAATGTAAGACTTATATACAAAATGGGTTAGAAAGAGGGGCAAAAATTACAAAACCGGGTTAAAATCACTACAATAAGTGGTCAAATAAACCACTTATCACCTGCTGCACCAAAAAGTTGTTGCTCTTTAAAAGGCGTTTTTATAGTCTTGCACAATTAGGGTTGAAAGTTCGGTTTGCAATGCGGTTTATAGCCCAAACCGAAACCAAATCATATTAATTCGGTTTGAGATTTTTCAAACCGCACCGCTACATATTATTATTCGTTCAAACCAAACCACGCCATTTTTAACTCGTTTAAATAATAAAATTAACCGCACCGCAATTTTTGGGTCCTATTGCTTTGAGCTTTGATTTGTATTTTTTTGGATTTACTCAACATAATCTATTTTTGGCCTTATAAAGTAGTGCTGAAAAGCAAAATAGGGCTATAATTTAGACATGGGCCCATATTTCGGTTTGGTTTTCGATTTTCGATTTTTCAAATCCTAAACTGAAACCAAACCGCAAACCGGAATTTTTTTATTTCTCAAACCGCACTGAATCAAAATAAATCGAACCACATTACTAATTCGGTTTGGTTCAGATTAAACCATAGTATTAGTTTCACCCCTAAATATTATTATTCAAAAATTCTTATACTCCCTCCGTATATTATTGCTTGTTTCATTTCTTCAAACGTGGAGTTTTAGGAGAAATAGTAGAAAGTAATAAAATATGAAAGAATGTTGGTGGAAGAATAAAGTATGATACTCGTAGTTGGGAGGAGAGAATATGGAAATATTAAAGTATGATAGTTGAAGGAGGGGTCTACTAGGAGAGAAGAAATTAATTAAATATAGTGAAAGGTTTCAAAAAAGAAAATTGAGGAAATAATAAAATACAACCGCAATTGAAAAGTGGAGCAAGTAATAAAAATACAAAGGGAGTTGGCTAGTTATTTATTATGGGGGTTAATTCGTCGATGTTATAGGGGTTACTCAATGAGTGTTATAAGAGTTACTTCATTTGTGTGTTATAGTGGTTATTCGGTAAATGCTATAGGGGTAATTATGCAATATTTATGACAAGGAAGTGTGAACATTCCACAAATGATCCATCCAGTTTATTTTACACAAGAGTAACAAAGGTTAATTTACTCTGAGCTCGAGTAAGATATGAGATAAGTACTCCCTCCGTTTTTAAATACTTGCTTTATTTCTCTATGCACAGAGTTTTTGGAGAAATTGATGAAAGTAATAAAATATGGAGGTAGAGGGGTTAGTAGAAAGTAAATTTGAGAAAAGAGAATATAAAGGTAATAATAATTTTATAAGGTTCCACTAGTTGAGAAAAATGAATTAAATATCGTAAAAGCTTTAATTTCCAAATAAGGAAATGAAGCAAGTATTAAAAAACAGCCGAAAATGAAAAGTGGAGCAAGTATTTAAAAACAGATGAACATTACATACTACGTATAAGCTAACGAGGACACTTACATGATCGATGAATAGCCGTTGTAAATTAGGAGAGCTTCGAAGTAAGCAGAGGATAAAATGGACTGCGTAATTGCAATTCAATGGTACTTCCAAAATTCTAAGAGTTATTAAAGCTTCCAATTCTTTTCCAAGCTTCTTAGGAGGTGCAAGATCACAAAATACATGACAACCCAGCTGCAAAACAATAAGATCAACAAATTATTAGGACAAAGGAAACAAAAGCAAAGACTGGTTTGTTGTTTTCCAAAATCAACTGCTAATTAAGTCTAAAATCGTACTTACCATGGGTAAATGGAATTGTTTGTCAAGAACAAGTTTTTGACAACTGAGCAAGCTACCGAAGAATTCATTCATGCTTCTCTTCAACCCAACATCTTTAAAAAGTACCACATCCATTGCTATAACTTTTATGTTTCGAGTTTCTCTCAAGGATAGACTAGTAGAGAGTATGCCTTTCACAACCAATTCTTGAAGATTTGGAGCACAAATTGTTAGATTAGTCATTATCTCTATTAGTTTGAGGTGCTCTAGCCACGAGCATAGGAAAATAAGATTTTCCAACATCTGTGCCTCTAAAGGTCCAAGTAGTTTTGTAAAGTACAAATCTAGATCCATGAATTTAAGGTGAGGAAATGCTTTGAATGTTGGAGGCAAATTTAGATCATGGCAATTGTAGAATGCCAACATCCTCAAGTTCTCAAAAGAATATAGACAAGAAGGCAGCTTTGGTGACCGAACATGATGAATATTAGCCAAAGTAAATTCTTTGATGCCATGACGAGCAACAAATTGCAACCACTGACTTAAGTCTGCTTTCTTTGAGGGAGCCCCAATTCGTCATTATGAGGAACACTTTTGTTCCTCAATGACATTTTAGAAAATAATGTGATGTTTTTCGTTTGCAGGGACCGCCTATGTGTAATGAGTGGAACTCTCATGTCTTGACACATACCCCATGAGGAACAAAACCTGTTCCTCACAATGAGGAACAAGGAATTCCCCGCTTTTAATGGAAACCAAGAGGGGATACAAAGAACAAATTTATCAATAGGGCCAATGTGACGAAGTAAAATGTTGCTAATGATATCTGAATATGCTTGTGAAGCCTCAAAAGTTCGATTTTTAAACCTCTTCAGGACATATTCATAGAATTTTTGGTCAAGTATTATATGTGGAAGCATAACCCATTTACACCTCCAATATCTGGATAAGATGCTCGTCTGCACAGCATGATGATAGGGTAAGCGCATAAGTATACACTCAGTTATTTGTCGCGGCAAATTGCTGATAATATCATTGCTCTCTTGCAAAGCTGCTTGCTGATTCCTGCAACAAAAATAACAGATATGCTATCAGCAAATCGAATAATGGAAAGTGGTAGTAACCAGAGCTTATACTGCTTCTCCTCCCTAAGAAATCATCTAACAAAGCACAAATATTGTAATATATACTTAAATTTTCACATAAATTAGGCGAATTGAGGAGGCACCAAGCTAACAGATACACAATTTTACACCCAAGTCTGGATTATTGAGTGTTTTACCACTTACAGATCTGAAGAATATATTTTTGGCATATATATTTTAATTTTTTTCCACTAGAAAATGGCTTCTGTTTAAAAATCCCATTTCTGAGATATACGTAAGAACACCATCCTAAAAAATCAGAGTATATGATACCAAGAATTATCTTAAAATCTCTACAAAAGTCTTTCAGCTCCTACTAAAGATTAAAGACCATAATCTTATTTAATTCCTGACAACCCAAGTTAAACTAGTTAAGATCAGTATAATGTACCAATTATCATTTCAATTATCCTGTAAAAGAAATTGGCCATAAAAATTATACTTCGTATAAACTTTATTTCGGTCGAGTGATGGCAGTGGGTCCAGGACCCTATCCAGAACTTGTTGAACCTTATCCTAAAACACAGGTATGGGTCTTAATTTTCTAGACCCTATGGGTCCGAGAAGGGTATAAGTCTAGGTGGTATCGTGTAGAGTAAGGTCCGGTTATAATGTTTGATGTGTAGAGTAATGTTCGGTTATAATTTTTGATGTTTCTAGACCTAGACCCACACTTGCATATAGACCCGCATAATAAATTAAGTTAGAAAAAGTTTTGTAATCAAATATAAAAAGAAAAAGCTTAGAGATCTTGATTTGGTAAGAAGTTGATGATGAAATCGAGTATGATACAAAAGACGACTACAAAATGAAAGCATACCAGTATTATATTTGTAGTTGTACAATTAATGTCATGAGACTTTGAATTGTAACTAGTTTGTGGCCCGTACAATGCCCTGAGTCATTATATTTATATTGAAAATGAGCTTTTATAATAAAAAAATTATGTGATGAAATGTAAATATAGAGACTAAATTAGTTACATCTACTTCAGTATTTACATCTTCAAGTTTATGAATATAATTAAATTTCTTTAAAAAAACATTGTAGACATTAGATATGTCATTGGAGTAGTGGTTGAAATTAAAGTATAATGAGCACGAGGTTATGGGTTTGAACATTAATGCCAACAATTCATCATTTTTGTTGTAATCTATGACATAGCACCACCTGGGATGCGTGCACACGCCACCAGGAAAACGTGTCCGAGTCGACACGGGGCGACACGTGTCCGACACACAGAAAACCGTGTCCGTTTTTTTTAAAAAAAAATTGATGCTTGGACACGGACCGTGTCACCCCAAGACATGGCCCCTTTTGTATTGGACACGCAAAATAAATATACCCTCACTAGTCACTGCTCGTTGCTCTACCTCTCTCAAGTCTCAATCCTCTCATTCTCTCACAACAACTGAAACCCTAAGTACACTTTGTACCTCGTCGCCTTCAGTTGTCACCGTCGGTCGTCACTCACACCATCATTGTTACATTCGGTCGTCGCTCTCAAGTCTCAATCCTCTCATTCTTGATTTCTCTCGCAAATCTGCTGCGTGCTCTCACCGTTGCTGCTTAGGGTTGCTGTCGCTGTCGCCGTCGCTCGTTCTCACCTGTCTCTCGTCAGCCGTCGCACCGTTCAGGTATGTTTAGTTGTTTTCTCTCTCAAATCTACTATTCTGCTACAGTGTTGCTCTCAATTTGATTTGATATGAGATGTTAGGATTTGGGAATAAAGGATAAAAATTTGTAGGAATGTCTTCTAGTATTGTACATGTACACTGTTTAATTTGATTGTGTTGTTTGATCTGAACTGAAAATGTACATTGTACTCTGTTTAATTTGATTTGTTGAAAATGTATTGTTGTCTTGCTGAAATTGTCAGGAATATCTTCTAGTTCCTCTGCTTCTTGCAATGTCAATGGTAGTAGTAATTCATCTGAGTCTATGAAAGTCCCCTACCATTTGTGGAAGTTTGTTGTTAAGAGTGATAGAATATCAGGTGGTGGAAGAAATTATAATTGGAAATGTAACTTTTGCGGCGAAGTTAAAAATGGTTCATCCACTAGAGTGAAAGCTCATTTGCTATGTGAACAAGGGAAAGGGATTGTAATAAAGTGAAAATTGATGACCTTTCTAAACTAAGAAAGCTTCATTGTGAATCCGAGGATTATAAAAAATCTTTGTTACCAAAAGTTCCACCTTTTTCAAATGAACCCATATCTTCTCATATCAACTGAAGCTACATCAGTGAGACTAGGTTCATCTGATAATGTAAAGAAGAGGAAATCAAACAATACAATTTCTGATGCTTTTAATATGATATCTCGTGACCACTTGTGTTTTGAAATTGCTAGGATTTTTTTACATAGGGGGGTTGCCTTTTAATCTTGCTAGAAACCCTTATTATGTTAGATCATATACATTTGCTGTCAATTCTAATCTCTCTAGTTATAAGCCTCCTGGATACAACAAACTTTTTGCTTTGTAAAGAGACAAAAAATGTGGATATGTTAATTATTACAACCTATTAAAGCCACATGGAAAACAAAAGGTGTTAGCATTGTTAGTGATGGGTGGAGTGATCCACAAAGAAGGCCTTTGATTAACATTATGATTGCTTTCGAAACGGGTCCTATGTTTATGAAAGTTATTGATTGCTCAGGTGAGATTAAGGACAAAGATTTACTTGTTTAAATAAAATTGTGTGTTTTGAGGCTAATTATTTAGTGTTTTATTGAATAGGTTGTCAAATTCTCGTTTTTTTTTTATATATTATATGCCTTGTTATACGCCGTACACGTGTCCCCTATTTTAGGATTGCCATTTTCCCGTGTCCGTATCGTATCCGTATCCGTGTCCGTGTCAGTATCCGTGTAACCTAGAGCACCACATCATCTGCCTAGTAATGATTACACGTGACGGGCTCATGTCTTCCCATTGAGTTTTAATATAGATATATAGATATGTTTATAGATAAAAATAATTTGCTTATTTTTATCATTCTAACAATTTTTTTATATAATTATTTTATGATAAATCAAATTAATCTGTCATTTACTTATGTGTTTTTTTTTTTTTTTTTTTTTTACATACAAATCATACACTAAACAATAAACATTTTAAATTTAGGGAAAAAATGGTAAAGGACCCAAATTGAACCCTGGACCCAATCTATGCCTTGTTAGATCCATAGGGTACGGGTAAGGGTATCGGTATGGGTATGAATTAAATATTTCAGGTCCTGGTCCTACTAGACCCTACATATTGCCACCACTACTTTCGGACTTTCACCAAGAGTGATCCGAATAATTTAAAATAGGTATGGGTGAACACTGATATCCGAAGATTGTGAAATTTGATATCCGAAAATTTCGGATCATACTGGATATTTGATTTCCGAAATACTATATAAGTATTTAGAATTTTGATTTTTTTTTAAAAAAAATGTAAATAACACCCTTTTTTGTATTTTGGATCAGATATCCATTATTTGATATCCGAAATAAGTGGATATCCGAAATCCAACTTATTTCGGATATCGAATATTTGAAAATCCGAAAATTGATAATCCGAAGAGGTATCCGATATCTAAAATTTTCGGATCGGATATCCAAACCGCAATTAATATCGGATCGGATATTCTAAATTATCATATTGGATCTGCTTCTATAGTTTTTCTTAGCCCTAAAAAAGGCTCTACAAAATCCAAAATAAATTAATCAAGTTATAGACCATTCAATTATTTTTCCCAACAAGATTTCAAGAACCATGTTCAATTGTTAAGTTCTAATTTCAGTGATTTATCAAACTTCATATCAATACAGAAAAATTACTCAAATTACAGACCATTTGAAATCCAATTTACATTTAATTTATCAGATATCAAAAAGATTTAGTAATTTATATAACAGATCCATCCTATAACCTAAAAATTAAAAAAAAAATAAAATAAAATAAAATAAAAACCTTCCAAAATATTTGGCTTGGTAATTAAAAGAAAGTCCCAGAAATTGAATGCATGAAGAAAGTTAGGAACTTGATGAATTGAAAAAAAAAATTAAAAAAAATTAAAATAAAAATATTGGTAGGATGCATAGAGATGAATAACCTGCTGACTGACAAGTGGACTCCAATAATGCCATTAATCCCAAATATCAAACTTCTGCCAATTTTTGTAGGTAGTGTCTGAAGCAATTTGATGAGAATTACCTCAAGGGCTCAAGCCTCAAGGTGCATAAAAAAAAAGCCTCAAGGTGCATAAAAAAAAAACAAAAACAAAAACAAAAAAAATATTTTCAATTCATTGTAAGAGTAAAGTTGTAGTCTAGTGGAATATTATTTTCAATTAATTGTAAGAGTAAAGTTGTAGTCTACTTTAATATCGTCTACATACATGTATAATATACATGGTAATCTCTTAGAAACGCTTAAAATGGGATAAACATTAAGTGATACGTGGATAATAGGTACCACAAGCTGATGACACAAAGCAATATATTAAACTCAACGTGCATAATGTGTGTATCACATTATTGTTCACTTCAATTTCACTTATCTTAGCTTGTATTAAAAACAGAGTCGGCAATATCAAGAATACACTCACGAATACACACATAATAAGTTAATTACGTAATTTTATTTTACGTTTTAAAATAAAAAAGACTCCTAATCCAAGTCGATGCTCGATAGGGACTGTAAGGGGGTTAAGGCCTCCAAAACAAAGGACATAATTATATCAAAAAGAAGAAAAAGGCTTAAATATGTAAATAGTCGTTACAAGCAACTAAAAATGTCCATTGTTCCTAAGCAAATAGAAAGATGGGAGCTACTGAGTAAAATTTGACCAAATTACATGTCAGATGTTGCACCATAACATACAAATGTGTTGTTACACCTTGAAAATGACCTCTGCTGTTGAGGTCGGCCAAAGTGCATGAGCTTCTTGGCTAAATTTAACTTAAACTCTGATTCATAGCCTGAAGGCCATGGACTACTATAAAGTACAACAGTCATCTTCTCAAGTGCTGGCGAACTTGCTAGTAGATATTTTATGACCTCTAAATCATTATGTATACCTAAGGTCTCAATTTCTACATGTTTAAGAGATGGAAAGGTAGAAGATTCGTTGATTCGAAGCAACTCACAACAACAATGCACACGCATTTTAGCCTGAATGTTATATGAAAAGCAGAATTAGTTATCTCATTTGATTATTTGAAATCAAGTGACTTCGATCATGACAAAGTTAACAAGGAGAATGAATGTAGAATTTTAAATACTTACATTACAACGTAGTCGCTGTAAGTTTGGTGAGTTTTCAATCAAGTAAAGAAAAATATGGAAGATGTACTGACAACCAAAAGATACATGAAGAAGTTCCAGCACTTTCAATCGTTCAAATTTGATTGCAGGCAAATCAGGAGATCGAGTATTACAGACCTGTTTCCACTGCACAGCATAGTATCAGTAAATCATAACAACAATATTTAAGAGAAATAAGCAGATCAATACAGAGAAGCTAAATGGATTTAGTACCGCAGGCCAAAAAAAGTCGTTGAGAACGAGCTTCCTGATATTGGGCAAGCAACTGAACCACTGACTTCACCTAAGTCATTTTCCAGTACGCATGAAACACGTAGATCTAACGTGCCTATATTTGCTGTTCCTTCAATGCGTAATAAATTATCAAAAATTCCTTGTACAATTAACTCTTGTAGTTCTGGAGCACGAATAACCAGATCCTCCACTCTAAAAGCGTTTAATTTGAAACTCTGTAGCCTAGGACAACTGGAAATGAGAATTTCTACCGCTTTTGTGTTACTAGGATTGGCTAATCTCGTATGCATAAACAAATTCAGGCAAGTAAGGAATGGAAAGCCCGAAAATGTTGGTGGAAGGGATAGAATGTAGCAATTGGTGCAGAAGAACAAACAAGAAGGTAGCCTCATTATGTCATAGCGACTATCATTAATCAGATGGAATTCTTTGACCCCTTTACCATAAACATACTGCACCCATTGACTAATGTTCACATCCTTTGTAAACCAGAAAGGTACACTAAGAACAAAAGTGTGTATGGGGCCAATGTTGCTAAGTAGAATATTGTAAGTGATATCTGAAAGTGGCAATAATAAATTGTATGAACTTCCTGTTATGAAATGTTTGATGCTGCTAAAAAATTCCTGATCGAGTTTTATCTTGGAAAGCGTTTTCCATTGGTATCTCCATTTGTCTTGATAAGACGCTTGTCCTCACAGCATCAAAGAAAGGTAAGCATTCAAGGATATGCTTTGCTACGTCTGGTGGCAAGTCACTGATCATATCAGCCCTTGCTCTGTACGACCTACAAAAAGAATGCAACAAAATCAGATGCTGCTTCCTAGCCTAAAATCAATATGAATTGTGATGATTTTCTTCAAAATTAGGGTGTTTAATACCAATAATAGATTATCTCTATGTAATTTTTTATACCAATAAGCAATATGTAAGTACTCCGTAACTTGTCACTAACAAGTCACTTCACCTGCCCCTCATATTTCCTGCAAATCTTGCAAGATTCTAGTGTTTGTTCATCAGTCAAATCACATAATTTGATTTATTCCACAAAATAAATTTCCTCTGTTTTTGGAGTATAATTATATTAGGGATATTATAATTATTGTATATATCTTTTGCATATATTTAGGGATATATGTATAGTTGACTTTCTTAACTTAATATTCTCTAGGTAGCTCTAAGGCCTCTAACCTAAGTGTATATATGATTATATGCTGAGAGGCAGCAGCCGTAAAAGGCACACAGAACTACAAGAAGTCTTTGCCTCTTTCTCTGTTTTCTATAATTGATTTTTTATTTTTTTTTTCTTTCTTCCGCACATTAATCTATTAGTTCTTGATTACTTGCAACAATGGGTGAAGACGGAAAAGCTAAAGCAGAATTTGTAGCCTTCACAGTACGAAACAAATTTAAAACATCAAATCTTAAAACAGACTATACAAAGATAATAGCAACAAAATTAGGGTTAATGAATAATTAAATTCGAATAATAATGAGCCCTAATAATAAAATAAAATAAAAAAAAAATAAAAAAAAAATCGGATTAGAGAAACAATAAAAGTTGGAACTTGACATAAAATAAACAAAAATGAAGAGAGAAATACGGACCTGCCAGAGAGGATGCCTCCATAGCCATTAAGCAAACACCTAAAATACCTTGTTCAGATTGATTTTATGTTAAATTGTTTCGAGTCAGGTTTCTATCTTTAGAAGTTTAGAGGTGTAGGCTTACACTTTGTATTAAGTAATAGAGTCCACTTCAAAATCAAATAATATTTTATTAATGTGAGATACTTATATGTGTTGTTTGGAAAATTCCAATTTCAACAATTTATTTTTTGATTAAGATCGAATTTTGGTCAATTTTTTTTTTTTTTTTTTTATTTAAGATATGGTAAATGACCATTAGTAACACTAAGATTTGCATCAAAACTAACCAAAAGATAACTATTGGTTGAAACCCAAGTTTAAAGTTTTTTTTTTTTTTTTTTTTTTTTGGGTGGGCCTTAAGATATGAAAATAAGGATTGCTTGATTCTATTTGCATTGTACATGCAATTACGTGCAACTTTAATGATACTTTTTTAAAATTTCAAACGATATTAATTTGCATTAGCTAGAGTGTTAAAGAAAGAATGAAATTTACTTGATATTAAATAAAATAAAATAAAATCTTAACGATCATTGGGTGAGAAAGGGAACATATGATTACATTTAAATGCAATTGTAATGATAAAAAAAAATTAGTAAAAAAAAGTTCAACAAGTTCTCAACGTCGGGCTTGATATGATGCAGCCTTCAATTCAGCTATCAAATTTCACTATCAGAAGCAACTTTGAAATTTGATTAATTGAACCTACTGCACGTTTTTCTAATTTCTCCTTGGTTGCCTGTTAGTACATCAAGTGCTTGCAATTTCACCATGGCATTAGCCAATTTGGTGTTGAATAAGGAAGCACTTTGCGCGAATTGTTGAACAAAGGGAATCGTTTTAGGATCACGAGCCAAGGCTTGGTCGATTGGGAGAATTCCTCTTTGCTTTTGGATTTGAACAAAGAAAGAGTTGTCGACTATATTCGAACTTTGTGGATTTTGATCAAGAAATGTCGAATTGTTAGCTGTTGTGCCCTTGGGGCATGTTGGCATAAGTTGTTGGCGAAGAGTTGGGTCCATATTTGGGTCAAATTCGCTAGTACCTTGGTATAGTCTATCTTGGAAGAATGCACAGCTTGAGACACCAACTGTGTGGCAACCTAAAAGAATAACCATCTCTTCTGTTGTAAATCTTTTAGCACTGAATGCTGAAATAGTTTCACTAACTGTCAAAAATGGGCTCGGAAGATTGACATCTTGGGCTGTTGACACTTGTCCATCTCTTCGCCCTGTTTGTACGGAATAATTTGGTCCACCTCCCTATTTTTGGAGACGATTTATTAAAATATTTATAAGAAAAAGATGCAAATTTTCCCTTGATGCAAATTAAACAATTCGAGGAAATAATTAAGGCTATGAAATTACCAGTTTAATAAGCTCCTTAGTAGCAATAGCAATAATGTCAGCACACGAAACAACTCCTGGACATTGTGCTTCTGCTATAGCTTTCATGGCATCAATCAATTCATATCCTCTTACGCTAAGGTTGGGACCAGCTGTTTTCTCGGTTGAAAGTCCATTTATAAGGATTGATGCATCACATCCCTTCAAACAATTAAAAAAAATCATTGGATGACATATTTATAATTATGACATGATCCGATGGGGGTTGGAATTACTGATATTAAGTTACGTTGATTAGCATTTTGTATGAGAGCGACGTACGTGCACTATAAGCTTTTGCATGATCGTGTAATTTTATTAAGAAAAAATTAACATTTTGCAATATGAGGTAAGTATAAGTACCTATAAAGCTATAATAACTGTTTGTTTATAGTGTCATCACCCTTTGAAAGTAAAATTGATGCAATAATAGAGATAGAAAGAAAGTTGAGGGCTTACATGTACGAAACAATCATGAAATTGCATGCGAAGGATGGCAGGAAGAATAGTTGGATCCTTTCGGAAATGTTCTTGTACTTTGGTTGTAAGTGCTGCCTCAATATCCACTAGTTTGTTAGGGCATAGACCCTTATAAAAGCCGACTTGCAAAGCCGAAGGTCTAGTAGGGGTAGGACTACTTGGAGGAACATTAGGAGGACTCGGAGGAGGACTTGAAGTGATTGGGGTAGGACTATTTGTAGGGGGCTTGTTATTTCCACGACCCATATGACGACCCTTGGAACCATGGTTCTTTTGCCCATGACTAGAACCATAGGATTTATGACCATGACTCGATTTTGAACCTCCTTGTTTCCAACCTGAACCTTTAGACTGACCCACATGGCTTAGAGCCAAGATGAGCATGGTTAGAGCTAGCACTCTAACCAAAATACTATTAACCGGAAACTTCATTTTTTTTTTCTAGCTTCCTATGAACAACTATGGATGAAATTGCTAGTGTATGTTTGCAAATGTGTTAGCAAATTGGTTTGTATGTTTCATTTGCGCGAATGCCTATTTATATAACGATGGAAGACATGCAAATTAAACTTATAAAATAAATAAATTGGTTAATAATTTAGTTTTATTTAATTATCAATCAATAATTTCTAAACTTGGCTGTTAAAAATCACAATTAGGTTTGCAACAATACGTGCGAAGCAGATTGTATTGTCTCCAATTCAATTCGCCGTGAAATGTACATGTACTTATATACGTCGGTGTATACGTAATAACCTACAGATAATTCCTTCCAGACCATCCTTATATTTATATATTCTGGTAGGTGGATGTTTCCTAGACAATTATTCTGAAAATTACTATATTATTATTATTATTGTACTGTCAAGAAATTTGGGATAGAACACAAAATAGAAGCGTTGACTTACAACTAGAAGCTGAAACAGGTCCAAAAATTCTGGTTTACTCCTAAGAATCTGAAAACATAAGAATATAGCCTGATTTTTCAAGCTCGTCTCAAATATTTCAAATTTATATCAGAAACTTATTTTTCCCCTGTTCTTTTTTTAATTGTAAAGTTGAGATTTCACCCTTTCATTGCACATTTTATATCATCAAAATGAAGGAGTATTTGTGAATAATATAAAATATTAAACTTTGAGCTTAAAAGTACTAGAGCAAAGTTTTAAACATTTGGATCCTTTAAAAATATAGCATGGGCGAACATTTAATTACGTTTTAATAGTATTTTATGAGATTGATAAACACATACCCAAGATTTACCGGCATATTTATAATTGATAACTTATTACTCTCTTCATTTCATAATACAGTACAATATAATGCTCATTTCTACCTAAGTTCAAACAAGTTTTTTTAATTAGTTTTTAGAGCAAAAAAATTTATATTAGTTATATCACTAATGCTGGAAAGCATTGCAGATCATGACAATTGTGTAAAGCAAGGGTCGTGCCATGTTATTATTTTATGTAATCTCAACTTACCAACCGTTTAAACAGCTATATGCCTGGATATAATATTTTTTTGAAGAAAATATTTGCAAAATCTGGTTCATTTAATTTGAACCTGGGTTTGGTATTTGATATAATATGTTGACTTTTTCAGGGGAAAACCAATCATTTGACCTTGAGTTATTTTTGTGATCACCAAAGATGTGCGAATATTTTAAAAGATATGAACAAATATTAATCATAGACATTATTTGGATGCACATAGACATGCAGACGTTAATCAGATTCACATTAGGTGGTTGAAACTTCTATCAATAATATTTCCCAATTGTCTAAACTAAGCCATGCATGTATAAAGTTACAACTAGTATTTAGCCCGTACCCATATGATAGTCCGTACCTACTACCATAGTAAAGTTAGGATTA